GGCCAGGCCAGCGCAGGGAACCCACAGGTTAGAAATCATAGCCTGGCACCTGACAGGACCCCAGGTGTCTGTCTAGCAACCCAGGCTTGGCCCAAGAGCCACAGTCCTCTCCTCAGTTTCTGTCCCCATGCCTGGCCCCACCCTCTTGACCTGCTATCACTGGCTATGCCACCCCCCCTTTCGTTCTCCAGAAGGCCCCCAAGGACCTCTCAGGGCACAACCTCCAAATCCCCAAGGCTGAAGCCCTACCTCACAGGGAGTACAGGGTTTGAAGTCCACTGCCCTGGGTAGGAGACAAAATCAGCACACACAAGTGGGGTCCCTGGTGTTTAATGGGGTGCAGGCCAAGAGGTAAGCTGTTTGAAGAAGGTGGCGGGGAGCAGAGATCTCTATAGGGATGAGAGTGGCAGGCAGCAAGTCAGGTTGGTGGTATCTCTGCAGGCAGGAGGCCAGCCCCCCAGGGGACAAATCACCCCAAGGGCAGAACAGGGTCTCCAACCTCACCCCCACCCAGCAGGCCTGGGCCCAGGGAGTGTGCTGTAGGATACACTGGCCCTGCCCTGCCCCCTGGTGGCTGTGTTGGCTACCATGGCTCCCTCCCAAAGGAGTTGCCTCTACCCAGTCATAATGGACCCATGGGAGCCGATTCCAGCCTGTCCTATTCTGGACCTCGGTTTCCCTGCTGATGCTGGTGAGGGACACGCACTGCCTACTCCAGAGCCTTCACCAGGGCTTCGTTGGCCTCGATGCGGATTTGGATCTCGGCCCTCGCGGCCTCGTCTGCTGCCCCTGATAGCTCCGACTGTGCCTTCTCCAAGTTTGCCTTGGCGGCCTGCAGTAAATAGGTGGGTGGGTGGTGAGGGCCAAGCAGAGTCCCTGGCCTGGCTCCTGCCTCTCCACCCCCAAAGCCAGGAGCTCTTAGCTCGTGCCTGCTTAGTGCCTCAGTTTCCCCTGGGACACTTACTGCCAGGTCCAGCATGTCCAGCGTCACTGCCTCTTCAGCCAATAACTGAACTGACGAATCAGCATTCACTGTGACTGAGCCGCTGCTCACTGTGGGAGGACTGGGACTGAGATCACGTCCAGGCTTGGGGGGAACCACCAGCCCCAGAACCAGGACAGTGTCTTCACAGGAGCCCTGGGGTCCAGCATGGGGAATGGGCACCTGGAGAGAACACATGGGACCAGGGGGCCACCAGGGGCATCTGCGGGTGGCTGAGCAGGGAGAGACAGACCCTTCCCTTCACCTACCAGCCACCTAGCTGAGCAGAGGTCAGGTGAACAGAGGGCTGTGTTTGAATTCTGGCTGAGGCTTTGAAGACTGATGCTGGTGGAAGGCCTTCTTAGAGCCAATTTCTTCCTCCACAGGTTTCCCTCTCTAAGTCAAGAGCCTTTCCAACATGGTTTTACTGTTCTTCCCAGCATCTGTAACCCTCCCCCAACCTGCTACATGCTACTTAACCACAGCCAGTCTCGAGCTGAAGGCTGCAAGATGCTTCTGGCTTGCTTCCCACTGTGTCCTTTGGGTGCCCACAGTACTTTTTCTTGCCATATCAACTGATATGGGAATCGACCTTCGATGAACTCACCAAAGTATTTGGAAGTGGTGCCATCCTCAGCGTGAACAATGACCAGCCCTGGCCGCAGGACCTGCAGGGTAGGCACGTGGGCTGCCAGTATACCAAAGGCTCCGGTCTGCGTGGGCACATCCACCTGCCTGACGTTGGCACCATTGAAGAAGACCTGGAGAAGACACACGGGGAGTAAGTCACTGCAGGCCAGTCCCACTCCATCAGGACTTACTCTCCCCAGCAGTGAAATGGGCTGGGTCAGGGCCGACTGCCATGGGAAACACAGAAGCAGCGGCGCTGGGGCCGACACTTGGGGTTTGCTCCTTTGGTCTGTGCCATCATCTGTGAGAATGAAATCCAGCCACTCAAATCCTTCGGCAAAGAGATACTGTAAGGATACGAGGACGTGCCTCAAGGGAGGAGCACACAGCAGGTTATCTCGGGAGAGGTGCCTGCAACGAAAGGCAATGCCGGCTTGAAGGGCAGGCAGGGCTCTTGGGCGTCGGATTCCAGGTGGAAGGCCCGAGAGTTCGGGGGTTGAGGGACTCGGATCCCGGGTCCGTAATGGGGGTTCGCGACCTGAGAGTTGAGGAAACCGGATCCGGAATGGGAGTTGGGGGGGGGGGTCTCAGTCAGACCCAGCCTGCGTGGGAGAAGGACGCGGATCCTGGCTCCGAAATAGCGTCCGCACCTGCGTGGGTGATGCGAAGGTAAAAGACATTTGTCCCGGGCCCGAGGCTGGGGCCGGGGCGGCCGCAGCCTCAGCGTAAGCGCGGGCCTGGCGCACTAGGCGACCCAGGCCGGGGCGGCGGAGCAGCGCGGCTGGCAGCATAACGGCAGCGGCAGGTGATCAGTCTTGCCGAACACGGATGCCTTGGAGGGCGAGGAGGACAACGCGCGTGGACGTCTGGGAGAAGGATTAAACTTGAGGGCGCACGCGCGGAATACGACCCCCCCCCTCCCGTGGCTACGCGCGATCTTGACGACAACACTCTACCAGGCGCGCGGCATGCTGGAAGTTGTAGTTTCATTTCGGCCTCAGCTCCGGGTTCACTTGTCAGGTGTGTGGGAGGGAAGTCAGACGGTTCTGCATGAGGAGATCAAAAGCCTGCGCGGAGGACGAGACCCTTAAGTTGAATTTAAGATTTGGAGAGCGTTCATTGGATGCTAGGAGCTAGAAAGAAATCAGAAATACCAAGACTCCACTGCTGGTGTAGGTGGTGAGAGCGTTTCACAGACATTCAACGTAATAACTAAGCAAATCATACAGTATGTTAGGGGGGATCAAATACTTTTTTTTTAATGTGCAAAAGAATGTGAAGGGTGGGGATGAATCAGGTTGCAACTGAGAGAGGTTCAGGAATCCCGGGAATAGCATGCAGCGCGAGCAGTACCTTCGGTGCAGTGGTAGCACGGCTTGGCTGCAAAGTCCGAGAGCATCACGAGAGGGCGCCTCCGCGTCCAAGGATGCTCTAGTCCCAGCCTCGCCTGGCTGTCGCCCCCACGCGGCACTGACGCAGAAGCGCCTGCGCGGGCGGCCCGGGGTTCCGCTGACATCATCGTGGCCTGCGCAGTCTCGCTCGCGGCGCTGACGTCGCCGCCGCGCCTCCGCGGTCACGCACGCAGGTCGGCGCACAGGGGTGGGTCCTGAACCCCCGCCCCCCACCTTGGGCTCGGGGGAAAACGCTGAGTCCGGACTGAACGGGAAGGTTCTTTGCTGAGAAGCAGATGATTGCAAGGCGCAGGGGGGTGGGTGTCACTCCTTGGCTCGGAACAGGTGGTCTGCGATGCGGGGCTGCTGCAGAGGTTCCCAGCCCCAGGGGCAGCATGAGTCCTAGCTCCCTGCAATGTCTAGGCATTCGCTGAGGCCACGCCCCTGCCTGGCACCGTCCTTGCCAAAAAAGTTTGTTCCCAGCCCTAGTTATGGGGGAATGTACATTGGGAAGCCCTACTCACGTGTCTAGGGGTGTATTGTGTGTGCAACCTGACCTCTTCTGGAGGCCCGGACCCTTTATCGAGACCTGATCTATCTAATCGACTGCTCAAACACATCAATTGGACTTTTTTCCAGTCCCCATTCCAGTGTGGCTCGTGGGTCAAGACACCGCCTGTTAGATCCAAAACCTGAGGTTATCGTGTAATAAATACCCTGGTGGACCCATTGGCAAGACCTGACCACTCAGCTCGGCCACCTGGCCACCATCAGTGGCTTGGATGGTTCCAGCCTCCTTCCCCAGCCTCAACATGTGTACCTTCTCCACACACAGCCAGAGGGACCATGTTATTACTCTGCTGAGAACCATAAGCTGGTTTCCCCTGCTCCCTCAAACATGTTGGTCTTCTGCAAACATACTTTCCTACCTGATGGCTTTTGCACATGCCATCCTTATTCACCTGGTGCCAACTTTCATGGGTATTTATCCACTTAGCTGCCCCTTTACTCTCCTTTAGTGGTGTCACCCTTTCATCCACTCAATAAGCACGTTCCCTCCTAGGTGCTATACCTGGGAACCCAGCCTTAAATGAGTTACTGTTCTTGGAGGTCATCATGTAATGGGGACAGGGGATACAACACATAGAGGGCCACAGCGAGAAAAAAAGTGCAGCAGGGGACAGGAGTGGGGGGTAGTGGTTGCCATGTTAGCAGACATAGCCAAGAGGAGAAGCAGGGAGGCTTTGGTATTTGGGAAGTGTTGAAGGGGGTCAGAGCCTCTTACAGCTGAGCTGGGAAAGAATGGTCTTGGCCTGGTGCCTACAGGTGCAAATACCTGGAGGTTGAACTTGGGCATCGCTGAGCATTGTGGGCCTTCCCTGGAGAAGGGGTGTCGTTATGGGATCTGGAAGGATGGGATCAGGACCAGACTGATGGCAGGGTGATGGCCTAGGCATCTAGAAGGGCAAGGCACGATTTTAGGAGAGGAAGAAGAAAAAGCAGCTTTGGGGTTTGCCAGGCGTGGGGTTTCTGCAGGGTAGTTCTGCTGTCACCGGCACTGGGCAGGCCCCGATGGTACTCTACGTAGGCTGTGTTCTATTATCTTTGCTTGTCCCAACGAGGCAGGGTGCACCGTGAGCCCTAACTGTCGCCCTCACACGAGAAGACATGTGCCTGAAAACCCTGAGCCTTCCTCACACAAGGGAGGTACACACAGTTCCTTGAGGACCCCCAGACTGGGGAAAGATAAGGAGGGGGTCTGTACACTCCAGGACCCAGGGCTGGGGATAGTTTTGCATTCCACGGTGCTCCCCATCCCCAACCCTTTGGGTCCACGGGAAGGGTCGACGAATCTTGCTGCAGAGGCTGGGGGCGGAGATCAGCCGCAGCAGGAGAGGGCGGCTCGTGGGGAGGGGGCGTCAAGGAGCGTAAGCTCCGCCTCCTCTTACCCCCCTCCCCCGCTGCCGCCGGAAGGGAAGGGGAGGCGGTGGCCAGTGCGGACCAAGCCAGACGCTGCGGCGAGTGCGGCGGGGGCGGTCGGTCGGGGACCCGGCGGCACCCAGCGGGTGGGAGCGGGCTTGTAGCCAACGCGGTCACGTGAGCGGCCCCTCCTCTCGTGCCCGCCTCCCCCGCGCACCGGGCTCTCCATTCATAAATTCTTCTGCTCCGCGGCCACCGGGCGCCGGAGCCAGCCGGGAGCGCCGCGCATCTCCGCCCGCTGCCAATGGGCCGCGCGCCCCGAGACTGAGGTAGGCGCGACGGGCCCGGGGCTGCACACGGGCGGGCAAGGAGAAGGCCGGGACCGCGGAGCCCAGGATCGTGGTCGGCTCTGGTGCCCGCCTGGGCTCCGGACCACTGTCCTTTCCCGGCGAGGCACGAGGAAAAGACCGGAGGATGCGGGGAGGGCGTGGGAGCCAACCCGCGGGTTTCTCCACCTTGCCTTCCGAGGATCGAAGAGGGACCCCCCCTTCCGCCTGCGGCCTCTCGGGCCTCAGTTTACCCCTGGGAGATCCAGCACGGGCTATGGCGTTTCCGCCTCTTGGCTTAGCCCGGGGTTTAGATGTGCCTGGAGCCCCTCTCTCTGCTTGTCCTCGCTCGTCATCCCCGCCCCCGGGGCCGGATGTAAGTGCGGGGTTAGGCTCAGGCTAGCGAGCTCGGGGAACTGAGGCCCAGCCGGACCTCAGGGTCTAGCCCTTGGGGAACCTCCGCCCTCGCTCCGGTCCCCGCCCACCCCGGGAGTCCACCTCTCTTCTTCCTCCGCCTCCTGCCATCTTTTCTGGTCCCTTGTCATGTCCATGCGCCTCTGCCCCCTCCCCCTCCAGCCTGAACTCATTTCCCAACCTACATATGCGCGAACCCTACCCCCGAGGAGATGGGAGCCGCGGCCAGAGCCTGACCCCGAGAATTGTGGACACCGGACTTTCGCCAACACCCACACTATCTCTGGGCCTCAGTTTCCCCCGCTATCGCGTGGGGTCAAAACCCGAAAGAGTTGGGGACGCTGGAGCCTGTGTACAGGTTTCCCTTTCCTCTGGGGAAGGACCGAGCGGGAGCCCAGCCTATTCAGCGCTGCCGGTCATCCATCCGGCTCCAGTCTGAGATTCCAGACTGCACCCCTGTCCTTCCCGCAGCGGGGAGGGTCAGGTGCACTGTGTGAGCAGTCCCTTTCCCGAGTGCCGGGTCCCTGCCTGACCTCAGTTTCCCCCAGCGTAAGGCAGGCATGGAGGCCTGCCAGCCCGAGCTGGGAGAGCCTGCTGGCGGAAGCGCCCGGTCTCGGGCTGGGCACCGGTGCGTGGGGAGGCTCGCAGCAGCCATTTTGCCGCCCAGGGCTCCGTGTGAGTCGCCCTGCAGGAGGCCTCTCTCCCCCGCCCCGCCCCTCCCCAATACTCCCTGGCAACCCCCCCCCCCCAGCTCAGCCTGCTCGCTCAGTCGCCATGGGAACCAGATTCTTCAGGGCTGGGTACAGATGCTCCTTCTTTGGCTTCATTCCCTCTAGCGATCAGTGGAAGGGGGCCTTTAAATCCCGAGTCATGACCCTGGAGTCCCTGTGCTCAGCCACTCTGCCCCGCTCCCACCAGTGGACTACCAGTCCCCGCTAGCTTGGAGCCAGTCTCCTGGGGTGGCCCCTCCCTCTCCCTCGATGGGGCAGGCAGGGCCCTGTGGTCTCTTGGCATGGTGGGCATGTAGGTGTAGCTGACGTACTCAGTTTCCCCATTTTTCTGGGGGTGCTTCCCCTTTCTTGGGCAGGGCTCCCAGCCCAGTTACCATGCCCATCTGGCCCCACCAGCTGGGGAAGCAGGTGATACACACACACCTTTGTCTTAAAGATGGGGAGTTGGAGGTCCCTGCTGGGCACCCATCTGAGGTGGGAGGTGGCGGCCTCTGGTTCCCCCCACCTTTCTGTGAGTCACTGCCCTGCGTAGGCTCCTGCTTTGACTCCCTGGGATAAAAGAGGGGGTGGGTGCCAGGGAGCTGGAGCTGAGCAGGCCCTGCCCCCACAGGGCCCTCCTCACATCAGAATGCAGCCCACTACTACCATGGCCACAGCTGCCACCACCTCCACCGCAGCCACCCTGACCATGACATGGGACAACACCACAGTCCGCCCCACTGTGAGTTATGGGATTAGGGAGGGAGATTGGTGGGTTGAGGCCACCAGAGGCCACAGCAGGACCTGACCCCTGCCACTCCACAGGCAGAGCCTGAACCCATCCTGGACAGCTACATGCTGTTAGTGGTGGTGATGTCGCTCTTCGTGGGGGGAACCCTTGTGGTGCTGTCTGGTGTGTTGCTCCTGTGCAGGCGCTGCTGGGAAGTCCACCAGCACTTCAACAGGTGCGTGGCCACCACCCTGCTGCCTTCTGGGGGGCTGTGGAGCAGGGTGAATGTCGGACAGCTGGCCAGTGAGGAGCAGGCCCATCACCCCTGTGCAAGGGCAGCAGTGTTTGGGAGCCGCAGGTGCATGGGCATCTGTGCAGGGACCCTATCCCAACAGTTGGGATCCAGTGAGCTCGAGGCACTGCCAGTGGTACAAATCCTTCAGGGACACTGACCCACCTTGCTCTTCCTGTTGTCCTGCCCCAGAGCCACAGAGGAGTTAGAGAAGACCACCACCACCTACCTGGACAATGGTACCCACCCCATCCAAGGTGAGGCCTCACCCAGGCTCCACCCTTGCCCAGGCCCTACCCCTGTCCACTCTTGGGCCTCCCACCTTGGGCCTCCTGACCTTCTATGTCTGTCTGTCTCCCCCACCAGACTGGGCGCAGCTCGATTCCGACTCATCTCTGTTTCCTTAAAGCCCACGCGTAGGTCCTCACAGGCGCATGCTGAGCGAGTGAGTGTGTGAGCGGATGAGCGAGTGCCCGCCCACCTACCTGTCCGTCCTTGGCGGTCAGTTGGGCCCCCTCGCTCCCTCCCAGGCCAGTCCCAATCACAGTCAGCCAGCACCAGGCTCGGCCCACCCTCTCTTGGCTCTCCTCACAGACCCCGAATTGAGGGGGGAGGACCTCGAGGGCCAGGATGCAGAGACCGAGCGGTTCCTGTCCACCAGCTCCACTGGCCGCCGTGTGTCCTTCAATGAGGCAGCCCTGTTTGAGCAGAGCCAAAAGGCGCAGGACAAGGGTCGAAGGTAAGGGGATCCCTGGGTGGTCAGCACTGTCAGGGCTGAAGTATGGCCTCACTGCTGGGCTCACTGGGCAGACTTGGCCTCTGCCGAGTGGCTACTCGTGTTCTGCTTTCCCCAGACCTGGCAGGGTGGAGGATGGGGCCATGGAGTAGTGCATTGTGGGCAGGGGGAATCTGGCTGAGCACAGAGACCAGCCAGCTGCTCAGTGACTGGTGGGCATGCTGGGCACAGGTATACCCTGACAGAGGGGGATTTCCATCACCTGAAGAATGCCCGTCTCACCCACCTGCACCTGCCACCCCTCAAGATTGTCACCATCCATGAGTGTGATTCCAGTGAGGCCAGTGCAACGGCCATGCCCCACCCCACCGCCCCTCCCAAGGCCAGCCTTGCCATATTCCAGGTGAGATGGAGGGTTTGGCAGCCAAACCTGGGTTTTGCTGGGTGGGAACCCCGCCCTTACCTGGCAGGTGGCACCTTTCTCTCTCTCTGGCCCTCATCTCAGGATGGGAGGGGGCCGACTGGGATGCATAGAGGGGGCTGGGTCCAGCACACCCCCTCACCCACCAGTGCTCTTTGACCTGTCACTGCTTCCTCCTCCACCCTGGCTCTGTCCCACAGCCCCCGGGGAAGGCCCTCACTGGCCGCTCCGTGGGCCCCAGCTCCGCCCTGCCAGGTGACCCCTACAACTCTGCCACGGGCCCTGCTGACTTCGAGATCAGCCCCTCTGCATCCAGCGACTCCGGGGAAGGCACCTCGGTGAGGGCCCCCATGTGTCCTTCCCCTCTCCATGTGCAGCTCCAGAACAGGTCAGCCCGTGGCCTCCCATCCTCCACAGCTCCCCTCGACCCAGCCTGGTCCCTGCACAGGGCACACAGCACACAGTGGGTTCCTGCAGGCTGGGGAGGCTGCCCGTGGGCACGAGCCCTGTGGGGTGGGTAGCACACGGGACACAAGCACAGCTGTCTCCCACACCAGTGTGCTCACACATGCACAGGGCACTTCGGCAGCTGGCAGGGTGTGGTTAGGACCCAAGCCAAGTAGCAGGGTGAGCACTCCTGGACATTTACCCTTGGACCCCCTGTGTCCAGGGCTGGGGTGGACAGAGCTGGCCAGCACCTGGCTGAGCCCCTGGGGACCTTTTGGGGAGTGTCTGGGGTGGGAGGAAGAGTTCCATGTTCCCCCTCTGCACTTGGCCTGGGTGGAGTGACAGGTGGGAGACCATGGGGAAGGGGGCCTTCCTGCCTGAGAACATCTCTCTTCTTTCCCAGCTGGATGTGGGTGCTAGCAGCACCAAGCCTGCTGGGCCTGGAGCTTCTGTGGGGCCCCAGGAGGTGGGCCCAGGCTCTGGGGCAGGCCCTGTCCTGCAGTTCTTCACCCGCCTGAGGCGCCATGCCAGCTTGGATGGGGCCAGTCCCTACTTCAAGGTCAAGAAATGGAAGCTGGAGCCCAGCCAGCGGGCATCAAGTCTGGACACAAGAGGTGAGCTGTAGCCCCTGTTGATTGAGGGCCACAGGCCCTGCTGCAAGCAGCTAGAGTGGGAGGCTCAGAACCCGGGGGGGGGGTCTCTGTTCCTGAGGGATGTCCAACACCTGCCCCATGCTGGCCAGTGGGTACCCTGTCCAAGGTCTCCAAGGTGATCAGGCAGGGGCACAGGGCCACACGCCAAGCTTTTATGGGGACCCAGATGATAGTATTTTTAGCTTTGCAGTCAGACTGTCTACAGTGGTAGTGGGCAGTATACAGCATGGAAGCGAGTGTGGCCACGTGCCAATAAAACTCACAACAGGTGGGGAGCCCATTTGGTCACCCCTGGACAAATGACAGCAGCTTTCAACACTGTAGACCCTGGGGCATGTGGGGTCATGGATATAGGGCTTCCTTCTCCTCAGCCCAAGGCAGGGCTCGGTAGGAGTGTGGGGAGGTGGGCACTGACAGCTGGAACCAGCCCTGCTTAAAGGAGTTTAGGCTAGGCTAGACCATGCCTGTGTTTGCTGCCCTGTAGAGGAGGCAGGGAGAGGGGACAAACTATCAGAGAGGGGCATGGTTAGTGACAGTGCTAGCACCTTGTTGGGCTCCTGGCCAGGGAGGGCGGGTCTGTCTTGCTACCCTGTTGGAGCCCTGCGTGCAGCCTGAGATTTCTGAGGGTGACGAGTCAAATGCAGGTGCAGAAGCACCCAGGGCCTATTTGCTAGGTGACTGTTCTCTCCACTCCTGAGGCCTTCCCACTGAAGCTTCTCCCAGGCCTCCATGGTGAGAGCATCCCGGCCGCTGTCCAGGTGGCCCAAGGGCAGGCATGGGGCTGGCAGGAGAGGGCTTCACCTCTTCCCTCACCCCCCTAACCTGTTCCTTACTCTTCACACCTGCCTGCACCACATCTGCTTTAGTTCAGCTGTGCCTGCCACTAGGTGGCCAGTGACAGTCCTTGCTCTAGCTAGGCCTGTCTTCCCAGGCTGCTCAGGGCACTGCTGCTGCCTTGGCACAACCTCACACCTGTACAGCAAGGTGCATGCTCATCTGGCCCAGACTGGTGCCTACAGATCTGGGGTGGGGCACAGGGCTGGGAGGGGCACAGGGCTGGGAGGGGCCCAGGCAGGCTGATGTGCCTCCCTCTGCACAGGCTCCCCCAAGAGGCACCACTTTCAGCGGCAGCGGGCAGCCAGTGAGAGCATGGAGCAAGAGGAGGGGGACACACCCCACATGGACTTCATTCAGTACATTGCCAGCACAGGCGCTGCCATGGCCTTCCCGCCCCCCTGCCCCTTTCTGGCCAGCCCCACCAGCCCATCCCCCGCTCTCGGCAGGTATTTTTCAGTAGATAAAGGTGCTAGGGGTGGGCCTGTGGGCCCCTGCCCGACCCCGTCACCCAGCAGCCCAGGGAGTGAGTTCCCCGCCCTGTCTGCAGGGCAGACAGGCAGTCAGATTCCTCCAGTGCCACTGCCCCTCTTGGAGGCTGCCTCCCTAGGGCTACCTCTCCAGCATGGATCAGAGAAGGGGAGCAGGGGGAAACTGGAGAAGGGCCCAGGGGAGGGTGGGGACCCTGGTGATAGCCTGAGGGTCACCAGGACTAAACGTGTGCTTAGGCAGGGCTGCTGGGGGTCCATGCATGCCAGGGCAGTGCCCCTTCCCAGTGGAGTCCTCGGCCTGCGGGGACCCTTCCCACCTGCCCAGGCTCCTTCTCAAAAACTGTCCTGACCAGTCTCAGCAGAGCCCCCTCCCCAAGCCCAAGAGCAGCTATCCTGAAGCTCTGGGCCGTATCAGTGAGATAGGGGGTCCAGCGAATAGGGCAATTCCTACAATCTGATTGTGTGTCATCCCCCTAGTTTGTTATCAATCCAAAATGGTGGGAGGGCATGAAGTGGCTTTTGCAGTCATGCAGGGATAGGGGTCCCCCACCTGCAGTCACTCTTTCTGGGTAAGGAGCCACAAGTGTTTGGATCACATAAGATACCCTGGGTGAAAAGGAGGCTCCAGGAGAGCTCGGATGTGTACCCAAAAAGCAACCCCTACAAAGGAACAGCATTTTTAAAAACTCACCTTCTGCAGAGCCTGGCCAAGGTGCAGAGTCCCCATCTGTCCCTACCCTCCCTGACCAAGCAGGGTAGCCAGGGAGGGGACAGGGTGAAGGTCCTCTGACGGTTGCGCCTGGCTTGCAGGCTAGAGGTGGAGGAGGAGGAGGCAGGCGCCATGGGAGGATTGAGCCCCGAGCCCCCCACGGAGCGCAACGTAGGTGGTTCGGGGCATGAGCAGCAGCAGGAGTCGGACAGTGAGCGAGATGCAGGGCCGGAGCAGGCCCAAACCATCTACCGCGACATCTGGAGCCTGCGCGCCTCGCTTGAGTTGCATGCAGCCACCGCCTCAGACCACAGCAGCAACGACCGTGACTCAGTGCGCAGTGGCGACAGCTCTGGCTCCGGGGGCACAGCGCCCGCTTTCCCACCACCCTCACCGCCGCCTATGCTGCGCTCTTCGGAGGGTGAGGTGGGAGGGCCGCGCAAGCTGCTGCAGATGGACAGTGGCTATGCCAGCATCGAGGGGCGCAGCGCTGGTGATGATGGGCCTCCCAATGCACCCCAGAAGCACTCCTCCATCAGTGCAAGCTATGCGGCTACCACGGGGGGCAGCTTCGATGGGGCCCCGCCTGAGGAGTCCACCTGGCCTTCCAGCCCACGTGCCTGGCCCCGTCGCACACCACGCCGGGACTACAGTGTGGACGAGAAGACTGATGCCCTCTTCCATGAGTTCCTGCGCCATGATCCGCACTTTGATGACGCCCCGCCCAGTGCTGCACGCCATCGAGCACGCGCGCACCCGCACACTCATGCACGCAAACAATGGCAGCAGCGTGGCAGGCAACACAGTGACCCTGGCGAGCGAGCTGCGCACTCTGCACCACCTGGGCCTGATCCCCGCCCCACACGAGCGCCTCTGCGCCGTGGTGACAGTGTCGACTGTCCACCGGAGAGCCGTGCAGGTGAAGACTCGACGGCTGTCCCGGTGTCCACCATCCCTGCCATTGAGGAGGAACCTGGCAGCGGGTGCCCTGGATCAGGTCTGTGTGCCCGACCCTCGGGGGAGCTGCTGGACAAGCTGGCAGCTGGCCTTGAGGACAGACTCTTCCTGCCACATCTTGCCCAGCCAGTCAGCACAGCCCCCACGCTGGCTGCTGCCACTGCAGCACCCACGTCGCCAGACCACAGTCCTGCCTAAGTCCCACGCCCTGCTCTCCAGCTCCTATCACATGCACAAGGGCTCCGCAGATGAACATACCAGGGGCACGAGGTCCCAGTGTGTGTGCACTGAGATTTCATGCACACGTGTACCATCCTGGATGCCCATGCTGCCCCAGTGTACATGTGCCCAGTCCCCTCTGGTCACTAAGCTGGATTCCCGTGTTATTTCCAGGCCCAAGGACTCTGGTCCATCTGGAGGGGACGAGGCACATTCTCATCTTTACACTTCGGAGGAACATGTTTAACTGTTCTTACCCCAGACAGTGTGGCCTCTGGATAGTGGCTGGGCCTTTGTTTGAAAGAGGCATAAATGCAGCACACACTTCCCTGGGCCAACTAAGCCTTGAGGCACATCTGGGCTGCAGTAGCTGAGTCCACACCAGGGTGCATGCTCCAAGCCTGCTGGAACATGGACCACGGTGTACTGAGAATCAGTGGAGTGCACCGGCATAGCTGCCAATTACCAGAAGCCGTTCTCACTGCTGTGTGTGTTTAATGCAGCCCAAGCCTCCTCCAAGCAATAACCACACTGACCACCACTGCTGCCCCCAGCCCTGGACGAGAACTCCTTGTAGTCCCTTCTGGGTATCTGCAACTGCCCTCTGCATGTGAGTGGGCTGCCTGCCCCACAGCCACACATCCAAAGAGCCCCAAGACTCATCAGTGTTTGAGACTTACACAAAATCCAAATGGCCAAGGTTTCAAGTTTCCCAAGCTTTATTTATTGCCAAAAGATGGGGCAGCTCAGCCGCCCTGCCCCGCCAAGCTTCCTGCAGTCTGTGTACCATTCAGTGATGAAACTTCTTGTTTTCTGGTTGACTATAAATATTTACTGCATACTCTTGCTCACTCTGAGTTTTCTCTGGGGACCTAGGAGCAGAGGCCTTGGGGAAAAGGGCCAGGATTCTGCTGTCACACTTGGCCCCCTGTGCTGTGTGAATAGGCCCCTTGGTTCCAAGGGCCTATTCAGCTTTGGAGAGGCAAGGTTGCCACTGCAAGAGCACAGAGACCCAGTGTGGCAAAACACCCCCATGGAGGCCCAGGGCCTCCATGCACTGAGAGCAAGACCTGAACACTTCGGCCAGCCCCTGCACTTTGGGGCCCACCGAGGGGCCCCAGGCACAGATTTGGATGACACCTGACAGCACAACTTGCCACCCGACAATTTCCAAACACCCCTCACAACCACAGCTCAAATCGACCTGTTTTATTTTTTTCTTAAAAAAAAAAAAAAAAAAAAGAAAGAAAAGGAACCAACCAAGCAACAAAAACAAGGCAGCCACCTGGCTCCCACGGGCACTGGGCATGTGTCTCGGTGGGCAGGCCCATCCACCCACTGAAGTCCACCCCACTCAATCGATTGCAGTTTGAACACATTACTAGGTGTGGGAGGTGCTGTGTAGCAAAGTAAAGAGAAGTCGGGGGAAAACCAGTAGTCTAAACGTAAAGTGCATGGCGAGGTCTGTGCGGAGCCCGTGGCCTAGCCTCACCCTCCCCTGGCCAGGAAAGGGCCCAGCACAAGATTGCAAAGTCAACCGGAGGTTGTGTCCATGGCCCACAAGTGGGAGGAGGGAGGCAGACCCCAGTCTCTGCTGTTCCCCAGCCACAGCCTTCCAGGACCCCCTGGCTTCCTGACGGGTGGTCAGCTCGAAGGGTATGGCAGTGGCCTTCCTGGATGGTGGGCAGTGGGCCAGCAGTCGTCGGGAAGACTGAGGAGGACCCGGGCCATGGCATCTGGCCAGGACTCCCAGAGATGGGCTGCAGATGGACAGAAGGGGTGTCAGTTTCAGGCCAGCAAATATGCTTGCATTTCTGGGGGCATCCCCACCCTGGGCCCCACTCTTAGGGCAGGGAAACTTGAGGCCCAGTCCCACAGGGCTTTCAGACATCTGAGGAGATGGGTCCCACAGCTGGGCAGGGGCAGCTGCTGCCTTCAGCCTACACCCCACTGCCCACATCCTGAGCGGTGACAGGATCTCCAGCACCTCTGGGGCCTGATCCACACTTTCTGAACTGGGGCAGCCAGGGATAGGAAAGGGAAGCAGGAAACAGAATTATAGCCTCAGCTAGACCCCCCTGCCACTCCCCACCACCCTGCCCCCTGGCCTTCCTTCGGCACAGGGGACCCACTTCCCAAGTGGCTGGTGTCCTACAGAAGTGGCCTCTGCCCCCAACCCTGGTAGCAGTGATCACAAACTGACAGGACTTTGAAGGGCAGAACTGGACTCGGTCAGCCATAGCCACAGGTTGACTTGGCTAAGTTTGAGCAATGCTTATTCCTGCCCCCCCCCCCCCATCATCCCCACTGTGGCCCACCTACAGCCAACCGCCCTCACTGCTGCTTGCAGGCTGACAACCGACGGATCTTGCCACTGGTGGAACAGGCCTTGCGGGCAGGGTTGGAGACAGCACTAGCCCGGCGCTCTGCCCTTGATTTGGTGCTCAGCTGTGCCGAATCGGTACCATTCATGCACATAGTCTTGGACAGGCCCCAGCTCTGTCCATTCTGACTGGCCTCCTCTTCTGGGACTTGTCCTAGGAGAGGGAGGACAAGTGTTGGCTAATGGGGGCGCTGGACCAATAGTCCCCACACACAGCCACCCAGCTCCCCAGGCATGACCCCACCTGTCCCACCCAGGTCTTGCCTGCAGAGGCCCTTACCCGGGTAGAGGGAGAGCTGGTCTCAAAGTTGGCTAGCCAGCCAGGGCAAGACCCAGACACCTGGTGAAGGACCAGGGTCCTGGGACAAAGTTGAGAGCCTTGGCCCTCTCATCTGTTCTGAGGCCATACCTTGCTGGCACCTGTGGGACCTGGGAGGGGTTGGGCTCAGGCCAGGTGTCTCTCCCAAAACAGCCCATTGGGATGAAGGAATCTGAGCCAGAGATCTACCATGACCCCACCCTCACCCTCGAGGCATCCTGGGGGCCATGGGCCTGGGGCTTCAATTCTGTACTCACTGAAACAAAGGGCCTGCCGGGAGGGGCCCACGAAGCTCAGTCAGTGCGCACCGAAACCTTGCCTACCCATCTGTGACATTTGGTTGGAAACTGACCTCAGGTGCCTGAGGTCCCCAACTCCTTTCCAGCAGAGCCCCCTCTCTGCCAAAGATGTCCAGGGCCCAACCGGTGGCTTCCAGAACTTGCCATACCCACTCATGTGTGCCCAGGTCAGAGCTCATCCCTCCTCACAGGATCCTGCTTAGACAGAGCACATCAGGGGGTCTCTCTGCGGATGACTCGGAGCCTAGCCATCAGCACAGCATCTGAGACCTGCCCCACTCACCCTCAAGGCACTGTACAGGCAGCAACTGCCTGGCCCAAGGCTCACCTCTCAGGGTGGGTGGCAGGACCTCCATGGTTTAGACAGCTGAGGGCCTCTGAGGGTGACCCAAAGTGGGACAGGTTTTGGCCCCAGGACAGCCCATCACTGACCCACTGCAGGTCAGAAAGAAGTGGATGGCGGACATCTTATCCCAGAGGACATTCCCAGACTGGGAATCCCCACTGGGGAAAGGCCACCCTGGCTTCTCACACAGGCCTGAGGGTGCTTGGGAGCCAGCTGCAGGGACCTGTCAGGATCCTCACTCAGCCTTGCTAGGACAACAGACCCTACCTATAGGTGAGGATGACATTCAGCCGCCTGTAACTTGTCATAGGTCCCAGTGCCTCTGTGAGGCAGGACACCTCATTCCTGTTCTGTGAAGGGAGGAAGAGGGGACAGAGGGTCTAAAAGGCCTTAGATCCAGGACTGGATTGCATCCAGGTCTCCCAGGGCCAGAGCACCACACATGTATCACCTCCAGGGGCTCCAGGCCCCAGGACTGACCCCACAGGAAAATGGCTAAGCCAATGCCACAGTGACCTGAGACCCTAGGGCACCAGGTCTAAGCTGACCCTGTGGCTAGCTACAGTGGGCATCAGACCCCAGAACAACAGGATTTCTGGACCCTGCCCAACTCTACCAGGGAAACAGCTCCTGGGACCCTGCCCACCTTGCAGGCTATCACTGCACAATGGTTCTACCCATAATAAAAACCCACCACCCGGCCCTGGCAGGGTAGCTAAGTTGGTTAGTGTCGTGCTGATACCCCAAGGCTATGGGTCCAATTCCCCGTTAGGGCACACACAAGAATCCACCCATGGCCCTGGCTGATGTGGCTCAGCACACTGAGCGCCAGCCTGTGAACCAAAGAGTCACTGGTTCAATTCCCAGTCAGGCACATGCTCAGTTGCGGGCCGGGTTCCCAATAAAGGGCGCATGAGAGGCAACCACACACTGATGTTTCTCTCCCTCTTTTTCTTCCTCCCTTCCCCTCCTCTCTAAAAATAAATACATAAAATCTTTTAAAATTATATATATATAAAAAAAGAATCCACCAATGAATGCATAAACAAGTGAAACAACAAATCACGCTTCTCTAAAAACAAAAAAATCAATTTTTAACAAAACAAAAACCTACCATCAGGCTGACAGCCAGGGAGGGAACATGAGCCCCCCCCCTTCTCTCTCTCTCTCTCTCACACACACACACACACACACACACACTCTCACACACACACACACACACTCTCTCTCACACACACACACACACTCTCTCTCACTCTCACACACACACACACATACACTCTCTCACACACACACACACACACACTCTCTCTCACACACACACACACACACTCTCTCTCTCTCTCTCTCTCACTCTCTCTGAGTAAACCTTTATGATGGGGACTGCAGAACCAGCCCCCAAACAACAGAACCAGAAAGGCTGCAAGGGGATACAACCAGCAACAGGGGAAACTGCCCAGCCTCCCTCCGACACTGGACAGGGTCCGCGTGGGCCTGTGAGAGGTGCTCGGCCTGGCCCCTACAGCCCAGGTGGGCACGGTGGCTACACTAAGCATGGAGCTCCTCCTCGAGCTCCTGTGTGCCCCCGGACTCAGCTTCCTCTGCAGAAAGGTCTGGGCACTGGCTCTGCTGGGTGCCTTGCTCCTCTATAAGCCCTGCCTCAGACGCCTCCTCGCCACCTGGGAAAGCAAGGCCACTCATCAGGGCAAGAGGCAGGGCAGGAGGGCCACTGGACCCTCAGGGCCGTCAGAGGGGCTTCCCACAGCACTCGCCACCCCACAGGATGAAATGTGGTCTGTGGAACTTATACAGGGAGAGCCTGCACAGCCTCTGCCCTCTAGGGCCCTACTTGCTCCTGTAGGGGAAGGGGGTACCAGTCCACCCACAGCTGTCTGTGCACCCCAACAGGCCCTTGGGCCTGTGATGGCATGGCTGGGCTTGCTCTGAGGATTTGGGGATGTTGGGGACATCCAGGCTGGGCTATGAACCTCCACGGCTGCCACTCACCAGGCATGGTGAAGTCCTGAGTGTAGATGATGTCGTCCTCGATGTCAAAGAGGTCCTCGTCCCCCTCATCGTCAGCACAGCCATGAAGGTCCTCCAGGTAGGGCACCACAGTCATACTGCGCCACCGGTCCTTGCAGTCCGAGCTTGGTGGGATGGGCACCGGCTCCTCTGCTGGTGGGTGCTTCTTCCGGAACCAGCTACAGAAGCCAGTACATCAGGACAGCCTGGAGCACCTGGCTCCCCATGCAGGCCCCACTCAGCCAGGCACCTGGGTACACTTACCTGTGCTGCCTGATCTGCTGGATGGAAAACCTCTTGGCTGGCTCATATTCCAGCATCCCTGAGGAGGAGACCATGGGGGAGTCAGCACAGGCCCCTGTCCAGCTCTGCCCCACCTGCCCGGTGCTCTCCAGCAGTGCTGGGCCTGTAACTGTGTAGCCCTCGCAGATCCAGGGCCCTATACTATGGGGACACAAGGTTGGTCCAGGCACCAAGGCACATGCAGCCACCTGTAGAAAATTGCAAAGCCATAGGCAGTGTGGCTGCGAAGACAAGGAAAGACTGCTTTCCAAAACGAAACCAGAGCAGGCCAGGCAGGACACAGCCCCAGCCCACAGGTCTTGGACCTGCTGTCCACATGCTTGAGGATGAGAAAGCATGGATCTGCCTCTGCCAACACCCAGCCAGCAAAAGACAGTAAAGCTGGTGACTAATGATTCTAGCCAGGTGCCCATGGCCCCAGAAACAGTGGCAAGGGCAGCACATCATGGGTGTTCATGTGCCCAAGGGGTAGGTACCCCATGAGGACAATCCCATACCAAAATAATCACTTGAAAAAGGGCAAGACTGGCCCATGGCCTACCCAGCCAGGGTGGCAACACCACACTCAGGCCACAGGGGACCCCAGAGCTGCAATTTCTGCTGCCCCTACACCTTGTTCCCTGTGTTTCCTGCTCCCTTCCCAGTGGGAAGACAGAGTTGTGCCTCCTGAGCATGATGCAGAAGGGATAGGAGAAAGAGCTAAGCTCTGAACACCCCTCCCCAAAGGAGGGCAGGTTTGTGTTCAGAAAACAACAGCAATTTTGAGAGCTGAGGCTCAGAGTTGAAGGTCTCAGTGTTGTGGGGACGGGAAAGGACATGGTGATTGCTCAGGGGATGAGAGGCCCCTACAAGTTTCTGCTTCCCCATCCCTGTCTCTGTCACCAACTCTCCACACGTTGGTACAGCTGCCACCAATGTCCTCTCCCAGCATGCCTAGGGGATCTGAAACAGAACTCAGGGCCAGGGTGACTCTAGAACTCACAGGGACACTGCCCACCACCCCAGCTGATGGAAGAACCTCCAGGGTGACCATTCAGCTAGACCCAACTGCAATGGAGGAGGAGAAGGCACAGCCCATGTGCCCAGCTGGCAGGGAAAGTAAAGAATGGGGCTGCCCTGCCTGCATCTGGGGACAAGGATGTTCTCTGCCATGTCATCACCCCACATGGGGCCATTTCAGGCATCAATGAGGGTATGGGAAGTAAAGGTCAACCTGTAAGGGACACGAGCTCCGGTAGAGAAAACGTAACTGACACTTGCCCAGGGAAGGCAAATTCACAACACCCGCCCCTCAGCAGAACTGAAACCACTTGTTATGGAAAAAGCCTGATGAGTGGAGGTCGATGGCCAAGCTCTGGGCACACCAGAGGGTGGGACACTGAGATCATAGCCACCCTGCAAAAGGCTGCCTGGAGCCCATGAGCACTTGGGAGAGTTCATGGAGGACTGGGGATGGAAAAAAGCCAGGCCAGCCTCGATCTGGGGTCCCTTCTGAAACAGGTAGACTGCTTCCTGACTGCTCACTCCTTCCCTCGTTCCAAGAATAATCAGGGCACTGTCCCCAGAGCTGGCCATTTTCCTTTAAGTCCTTGGGTGGCCAGCAAAGCCTGCACTCAGCATCAGGAGCCCAATTCCACCTTTGAAGCATCGAATGAACTTGCATGTAAGAACCAGCTTGACTCAGTTACTAGGAAACTAAAGTATATTTGGAGCAGCTTGGAAACATAACTTGATCTTTCCAGTTGTGCCCCAAACTAAGCCCAGATACTGACCCAAGCATCCAATGAGGACAGGATGTAAAGTCAGTCACACACCAGAGCATGATGACTAAGGGGAGAAAAAGAACCTGAGACAGTACTGCACCAATAAATCTTACATACTGGTCACAAGCTGGGTGTGCAACATCCTCATTAAGTGTCTCATCCAAACTCACTACAGCTGGACCCCAGGCTGCCAGCTGGGGCTCCCAGCCACCTGCCCACACCTGTACAGCCATGGTGTGGACCACAGCACCACCTGCTGCACTGGCAGTAAAATGCAGAGGACAGTGACCAGGGCAGGCAGGCTGGGTTCCTCACCCTTTGGGGAGTGGGGTGTGAAGAGTATTTCCTGGACTCAGCTACTCTCCACACCCCAAGGAGAACCGTGCCCCCATCCACCCTCAAAAGCCCCATGTCCTGCCCCTCCCCAGGGCCCATGGTCAGTCACCATCCTGAGGGCCTCACCTTTCAGCAGGTCCGAGAGTGGGGGGCCGCAGTCGCCTGGGATCGTGTAGTCCCCCTTCCCGATGTTCTCAAACAACTTGTAGATGTTGTCCCCCTCGAAGGGGTACAGGCCTGTTGTGATGTTGTAGCTTCGCCCCCGAGGGGAAGGACAGAGGCCCAGTCAGTCGGGGCTTGTCCTGCAACCCTGGCCCAAAACCCACCTGGTCCAAAACCCACCTGGCACAGAAGCCTCAAACCACCCCCACCTGTAGGACCTCATATTGGGGGTTGGGAGAGATCTGGAATAAAGGATGGTGGCTACACCACTGAAAACACTGTAAACTACTTGACTGTATGTGTACTTTAAAGGGTGGGTCACAGCCCTGGCTGGTGTAGCTCAGTGGATTGAGCGCGGGCCTGTGAACCAGACAATCACGGTTCAATTCCCAGTTCAGGGTACATGCCTGGGTTGCAGGCCGGTTCCCTGAAGGCCAGTTCCCAGCAGGGGACGCACGAGAGGCAACTATGCATTGATGTTTCTCTCCTTCTCTCCTTCCCTCCTTCCCTTCCCCTCTAAAGATAAATAAAATTTGTAAAAATAAATAAATAAAGGGTGGGTCGCCCTGGCTGGTATTGAGTGGGTTGAGCACTGGCCTGCAGACCAAAGGGATGCCAGTTCGATTCCTGGTCAGGGCACATGATGAAGCCTTAAGAGAGGCAACTGACTGATGTTTCTCCTGTGCTCTTTCTCCCTCCTTTTCCCTCTCTCTAAAAATAAATAAAATCTTAAAAAAAAAAAAAAAGGTGAGTCACATACTGTATGAGTTCTCTCAATGAAATACAAATGCCCAGCGTGCAGATGCCCTGTGACAGGGTGGTAGATGAAGGTGCTCAATGGGGAGCTCTGCCCGCACATCTGGAGCATGAGTACCACCACTTCAGGAATGAACAGGGTTCCAGAAAACTCTGATGGGCCCACCAACACTGCTATTCGAAAGTGCTCAGGGACACACCTGGATAGGCCAGCAGGCCAATGGGGCAGAATGGGGGCAGGGGCATAGGGGTTGGCTGAACAACGGTTTCAACTTGCTGTGTCTGAGAATTCCCAGTATGAAGTGAAAGGACAGAAGGTGCCCACAAGATGAGTGTGGCTAGGTGTCAACTGATGAAAGTAAAGACAAACGGGGCACTCGACGACCACGGGGGACACAACCTTCAGTCCCACCCGCAGGGGCTGCTAGCCCCGGCTCCATGGCTGCCCCTTGCTCAACCACGTCAAGAGGGGTAGGGTCCAGAAGCCTGAAGCCCGAGCAGGGTGAGCAAGAGAGGGTGCCACAGCTTACGGTCACTTACAGGGTAACCCCAGCCGACCAGATGTCCACCTTGAAGCCGGAGAAGGTGTCCAGGCCATTGGCAATCTCAGGTGGCTGGAACGCTGGGGAGCCCTGGCTCGTCCTACACGTATCGTCCTCAGCGAAAGGGTGCAAGGCCTATAAGAGAGCCAAGTAGCCTAAGGAAGTGGCCTTGGGGACTGCCCTGCCCCCACCATGTCCTTGAGTCCTACCTCAGCCACACCCAGGTCAGAAATCTTAAGCGTGCCACTGGTGGTAAGCAGCAGATTGCCCGGCTTGATGTCCTTATGCACAATGCCCTGGCTGTGCAGATACTCCAGACCATCCACCAACTGGCAAAAGTACCTACAGAACACAAGGGCCACCCGGGGTCATCCAGCGAAACCAAACAGGCCATATAGCTTGGGAGCCACCAGGGCCAGAAAACAGAGAAATGATAGGACAGGAGGCTCCTCGGGAAACCACAGGCCACAGGTGAGGCTGAGCCACTCCTAGGCCCCTGAAGGCTTCAGTCACCCCTAACCAAGCCTCCTGGGTAGGACACAGAAGGGCTCCCCGGCTTCCCTCCTGCCTTTCCCCACCAGGCAGCCCTTCCTCGCTCTTCCTGTCACATCAAGGCATGTGTAACAACACCCCTCCCCAACTGCTCTGACACAGACATGGGCATATAGTCCCCCTGGAGCCCTCCCTGGGGCCAGGGACCCAGGCTCATCCTGCCAGCCTTCCACTCATGCCACAGGCCAGCTAGTCCTACGGCAAGGAAGGGGGATGATACTTCAGGAGGGCCAGCCAGCAAGTGGCAGTACAGGTCACTGTCAGGGGTTTCCTAAGGTCCAGGAGGTCTCAAAGCCTCAGGAGCAGGCATACTGGCATAGGGGATGCACACAGAGGGGCAACCTGCCTGGGGTGCTGCAAACTAGGCTCCCCAAACTCTGAATTTTAAAGCACACTTGAGCCGTCACTTCATTAGTAATCAGAAAAAGTTGAAACATAGGACTGAGCCCTTGAAGCCCTCGGGCCTGTGGGTGACATGGCAGGACAGAGGGGCAGCCGTGAGGCCTGGCAGTACACACTCACCCATGAGCCTGGCACACAGGGAACCGCTTCTCGGGCACGCTGTCCAACATCTCCTGCATGCCGCACACGCAGTACTCCATGACCATATACGTGCAGTGCTAAGGAAACCACAGCCCAGCCAAGACTCCACCCTACACAGAGCCAGTCCCTAGGGAGAACTGGGAAGAAGGCCCTGGAAGGTGCTGGTAGGAGACCATAGGCAGCCAGTACAGGAGAAACCAGAAGTGGCTGCATGTCTCAGGCCAGTAGGAAGGGGGCTAGACACACAAGGCTGCAGGGCCGGGCAGCACAGGGTCAGGCCAAAACCCCTACTCTTGGCTGTGTCTCCACCATATGGACAGAGAGGAGCCACATGCTGAGAACCCTGTCACTGAACCAGTGAGTTGGTGACAGGCACCTGTGGAAGGACATGGACTCCTTAGAAGGACTGAGTCCACACGTGCCTGATTCCAGGAGCTAAAGCAGAGCTGTCAAACTCATTTTCACCGGGGCCCACATCAGCCTTGAGGTTGCCTTCAAAGCACCAAAATAATTTTAGGACTGTATGATTGTAACTCTTCCTTAACTGTTACAGAGTTGAAATTACAGTCGGCCCTTCAAAGCCAACAGTGAGGCTGATGTGGCCCCCGGTGAAAATGATTCTGACACCCCTAAGCTAGAGTCAGCCAGAGCCACACGTTTTGGAGAAAGGGAGCCTGTCCCACTCGATGAAGGGCAAAGGCCAAGGACACTCCTGCATTCCAGCGTAATACCTCTGGCTTCAGCAGGCGAGGCCCAAATACCAGACTCAGGTGGTGTGCCCACCACGGGGGCACGTAAACATGGGGTCACCCAGGCTGAGGCTAGAAAGCATCTTTTTTCCAGACTTAGTACTCCCACTGAAGCCACAGAGCAAATGGGGACGCCAGCTAGTATGGGAATAACTGGGAAAACGGATGCATGGGTGTCATGACCCGTGTCTACCCACTCTGACTCTGAAGGATATATCTTCTGCTTCTCCTCATTGTACAGTACATCCACTAGCTGGATGACGTTTTTGTGCCGCAACCTCCGCAGTAGCTGAATTTCCCTGGAGAGAGGACAGAGCATTAGCCAAGCCCTCTGTGCAGTGGGATGTGGAGCTTGCTCTTGGGTGCTGTGCATAGGACATGCCAGCTCTTAGGCACCAGGAGGACTGGTAGGCTCTGCCACTCCCCCTTCCGTTGTACCAGTTTGCACAGGGACAGCTAGCTGGTGGGGCCTGGACAGGGACAATGCAATCGGGACACCTGTTATACATTTCAACTGAAGATGAACAATTTGTTTTACAAGAGATCACACATAGGGACAGTACCGCGAGGTTGGCATGAGCAACCATTGTGTATGGAGCTGGGTTTACAGAGGGCCCCAGAGATGGGACTGTCACACAGTAAGATGAGGCCACACCCATCCTCTGGCATCTTATAAGGGCTTCCTTCCTCTCCAGCACTCCACAGCCCTGCAAGAAAAACGACGCAGCCTGCTTCATTAGAACAGACACTGAGGCACCACTGACAACCAGACACAATGTTGGCTTGTGACAAGGGCTGGGCCCAGAAACCACCCACGTGTCTGTCTACACATGACGTGGGTCCTCAGGAGCAGGGGCAGCAGGAACGGGGAGCCTATGGTGGTGCTCCCCATGCCTGACTGCCCAACCCCAGAAATGCCCTTCTAACCTAGGCATAGACAGCCCACAAAACTGTGTGGCTGCGCTGGGAGCGGGAACCCCCACTGCTAACTGGGGGGCTTTGGGGAGCACTCTCCAGGTTCTCAGTGATGAGGACCCACCCACAGTTCTGCATCCCTGCATCTGAAGATCACCCGGGACCCATCTCCTGGACTGTGCCCTACTCTGCTCACAGTTAAGGTAAAGTCTGACAGAGCAGATGATAGCACACTGTCCTCTGCAGTGAGACAGCTCGGTGCTCCTGCTGAAACCAATAAAGTGTGTTTTGTTTTTTAAGAGGGGGCCCATCCACTTAACTTCACTGTGGGGGGAGTATTTGTTTGTCCAGTACCAGGATCAAAGCACTCTGCATAAACATCGAAGTTCCATCACTCACACCAGGAAAGACGGACACACCATCAGCTTCGCAGTGACAGGGCAGTGGGAACTACACGCCCCCAGAGGCAGAAGCATGTGTCAGCAGTACCTTAGGTGAGGGAACTGGAGACCGCCACCAGCACGACTGGAGCTGCCTACCACAGAAAGCAGGATGCAGCCACCAAAACCATTACTGCAGTGGCCTTGAGAGAACAGAGGGGTCTGTACCTTGTTAACCTCTCCTACAAGTTGCTTCTCTGGCCAGAAAATGAGAACAATATTTAAAGAAAAAGGAAAGGCCAAGTGCCCAGCCAGGATGCAGAAAGTGAAGGTAAGGAAGTGGCGCCTTCTATGTCAGGGAGGCTGCCTCTGCTCCTCTGGACCTGCCCATGGACAATGCCCAAGCAAAGTGGACTGTTCCATGACTCTGAACAACAGAAGAGAAATTGAAAAGCCAGGGTCAAAGCTTTAGAGAAACAGAAAGTGGCCGCCTCCATGCTGAGGCTGAAACACACGGAACAAGCAGGGGAGACAGGGCTGCGCCACAGCCACTGCTTGAACTACCCTACCTTGCTCCCCTCCACATGCGGGGGGGGGGGCAGGTCCAGGGCTGATGGCAGCTCTGGAAGAGGAACACTAAGCAAGATCCCGTTACCTCCTGGTCCTTCTGCAGAGATTTCTAAACACACAGCAAGAGGCCCTCAGAGGTGGAAGAGGGAGTAAAACAAGGGGAAATTTGCTATAAGTACAAGTCGACAAACACTTGCCCGTAAACATTCACAGCAGCAGGGTTCATAATAGCCAAGTAGCAGAAACAACCCAAATGCCCATCGACAGACAAACGATGAATAAACAGAATGTGGCCATCCACAAAGTGGATTATTAATCAGTCACACAAAGGATTGAAACACTGATACTTGCTACAACATGGATCATCCTTAAAAACAAGATCCTCAGTGAGAGAAGCCAAACACAAAAGGCCTCACAGTGTGTGACTCCATTTATGTTAAATGTCCAGAACAGGCACATCCACAGAGACAAGAAGTGAGTTCATGGTTGTCAGGAGCTGGGAGAGAAGGATGAGGGTAACTGATGATGAAGATGGGGCTTCTTTTGGGGTGATGGAATGTTCTGGAATGGTTAGTGGTGAGAGTTCCACCATCTATGGAAGTACCAAATGCCATTGAAGTACACATTAATAGGGTGAGTTTTATGCTACATAAATTATAGCTCAATAAAGCTGTTAAAAAAAATAAACTAAAGTTCAGCCACAGGATGGATGGATGCAAGATAAAGGGCAGCATCAGCTGAGATTTCCAACACACTCACAGGCAAGGAGCCAGAATTCCACAAGCACCCTGGCCCAGTGTAGCACCCCACGCTCCCACTGCATCTCAAGAGTTCTCCCCTCCCTTCCCCCCCTCCCGGTCAGGAAAGGACCAGGCAAAGAGGGAGTCCCTCAGAACATTCCGTGCAGGTGAGCCCCACACAGGCTGTGCCCTCTTGCTGTTTTTTGTTGCCTCTGGCAGCAGGCCAGTCTGGGCTCACAGTGGAATCCTTCCCAATACTGAGGGGGCAGGCAACCCAGCAGGAACCGGGACCTTATAGAGGCCATCTGGGACAAAGATGAAAGTCAACAAAGTCCAGGGTTCTGGTTCTCAACATGCTAAAACCACAACTATGTATCATCCAGAGCCAAGTACCTGTCAATCACTGCAAGGTGCTCCCAGTCTTGCCAGGCCCAGTAGGGACACTAGTGTCTGCTCCCAGAGCTACCACCCCCCCCCACTGAGGACCCACCCACATAGGGGGCAGCAAGGGAAAAGGAGAAACATCCCGAGTAGCCAAGCATGTCATACTACGTCACCTCCCTAACACAGACAGCAGACACGTACCAGAAACCAAACTCAAAAGAGAAGAGATGGCAATGTGACAGAGCTGCAGGGGACCAGTGGTCTGGACAGTTTATCACACTCATGCACGCTTCCTCCGACCCAGAAACTCCACTTCTGGTGATGTTCCCTTCATATCCTTGACCTGTCACACCACATGGCACAAAGTAACCCACCAACACAGCAAAGGTCCACAGCACAGGAAGGGTCAGACCCAGCCCTTATGGACAGAGCCCCATCCTAGAACAGAAAGGCAGGTCAGCGTGGGCTGCAGGGCAGGTCATCCCATGACTTTGTATGGTCCTGAGCAGGAGTGAAACTGCTTCACATTTCTAAACAGTCAGTGAAAAAAACCCCACAAAGACTGCAATTTGATGACACATGAGTGTTTTGTTCTATGAATGCAAGATGCCATCTGTGCAGTTGTACCGGGGGTTTCCCTCAGCCCTTAGCAGAACCTGCCCAGCTGAACCCACTCACATGTGCCCACCCGGTAGAGAACTATCTATACATGCAATAAACCTTGTTACCCTGATAAGGAGTGGGTTTGACTCTGCCAGCTACCTTCTTTGGGTTCAATCCATGAAGTACTACTGTGTGTTGGAAAAACAAATACATACAACTTATTTTTAAAAAGCAACCCTTGCCCTGGCTGGGTAGCCCAGTTGGTTAGAGTGTTATCCCTATACATGAAGGTTGCAGGTTTGATCCTCAGTCAGGGCACCTACAAGAATCAACCAATTAATGCAGAAGTAGAACAACAAATAGATGTTTCTTTCTCTCTTTCTCCCTTCCTCTCACTCTCTAAAATCAATCAATATATTTTTTTAAGTAAAACTTAGGATACGTTTATTTTTCATTAGAAAGTGCTTGGTTAGGGTAAGAAAAAAAAGAAGGGAGGCAAGATGCATTGGTATGAGGAGTACAGAATTTTAAAAAATTTTTATTTGATGCTTTATGGAACTTTCTTGTTTTACAACAAGCAAGAGGCCAGATGCAGACCTATGGCGGCCTTCCTAGAGGGAGCCCATGAAGGGAGGGGTGTTCTGACCTGTCCCACAACCTGGGCAAACACTGTTCTTTCAGGAAAAAAAAACAAAACAGGTCCAACCAAGGCTTGTCTGTCAGGTTCTGGACACTCTAAAAGAGCAATGGCTCCAATGGAGTTTATTAAACCTTTCGCAGACAAAGAAGCTTCTTCCCCTCCAGCAGGCTGGCTGGCAGCAAGGGCAGCCCAGGAGCTGACACCTGTTCCTCTCCCACCAGAGCTCTGTATAGGGTAGGCCCGCCCAGTCTCCTCCTACAGACTTGGGACAACAGAGCAGGGGCTCAAGAAAGGCCAGCCAGGGGCCAGCCTAGCACTCCGAGGGAAACCTCAACAAGGGGAACCGCCACACCCGGGTCTGGGCCTGAGCCAATGAAACTGAATGCTGGCTCACTGCCTGCAGCTGACACCTTATGCTATTGTCAGGTTGGCTGAGGACCACCAACCACTGGCCTCCCTGGCCTGTTTCCCCTCTGGTCCTTCCCACGGATTCTTCAAAACTGGTTCCATGCAGCCCCAACACCACATGCCCATGTGTTCCATAAGCTCTTGGGACCTCAGCTGACCCTTTGGGAAACCAGAAGCAGGATGCCAGTGCTTTGTGGCTCCCAGTTGAGCTCTGGTCATTTGTGTCTCTAATGGAGCATGAGGGAGCTCTTGAGTGGTAAAATGCCCTCTAACTTGACCTTGGTGTGTGCAAACTGCATCTCCTGAACGGGTGCCTTTATCACTGGTACATTACACCTTAGCAAAGGAGGACCCTCAGCCCAGCCCAACATGCCCTCCATCATGGCCGGGAATACAGACCTTCTGGGACCTTCTGGCCCTGCAGCTCTGCTAACGGGGTGGATTTGGGTGGGTGACTAACCAGACAAATCAGTTGGTGCTAGAACCCAGCCACTGGGACCATACTCTGGAAACCCTGCCTACCTCGGGCTGCTACACTGGAGAGGCTGGGGCCTGAGATGCCCGGCAGCAGGATATTTAGCAGCCAGCACCAAAACATGTCATAAACTAGTGCTGACTCCATCCAGAGTGCTCAGCCAGGCGGGAGGAGACCAGAGACCTTTCCAGGATAGATGGGGGGATGATGCTAAGAGAAGCCAGGAGGACTAAGGCAACTCTGGAGGGCAGGAGGGAGGTCCATTTCTGGAGCAGCATTCCAAATGCAGGAACTCACTGCCCTCAACCTGCAGTGGTAGCAATCTGGCTGTCCAAGGGCCACACTGCCCCCTGTGAACTTCTAATGGGAAAAACATGATTTCAGGCCAGCAGTCAAGTGGGAGATTCAAGCTTGAGGATGAGGTGTCACTTGCCCTTAAGAGGACATCTTGCCTTTAGGGCCCTGAGTCTCCCCAAGGACATGGTGGCTCATGACCAAACCCCACCTCCCAGATAAGAGATGGGGACAGAGAACTGACCAACTGGCCCCAGACACACCTCACCTGGTGTCCACAGGCTGGGTTGTAAAAACCCTTACCAAAACACTGCCCACCTTGCCCTCTGTCCCGCCCACCCTGAAGCTGCTCAGAGTACCAGGCTCTGACATACCCTCTTTTCACCTCCCCCAGGTAGTTCCAGAGGAAAGGAGAATAGCTCAGCTGTCCTGCCAGTGGCAAGGAGGGAGGTGAAAGCCGAGTGGTGGTGGTGAGCAGCGGGCAGCACTTCCAGTACGAGCCTGGCCAGCCAAACAGTCCAAGGTCACAATCAGTCCTACCTCCTGGCCCATTAGATAAACCTCTTCTGGGAATCTGGAAGCTGGGAGGAGAGTGGGCGTGGGGAGGGCAGGGTTCCACCCTGAGGCAATAAAGAGGAACACCCCCATCCTGAGAACAGCAGGAGGAAGACAGGGTCTCCACCACTCTTGGGGAATTCCTGCTGGCAGTCCCAGGCACCTCTAGGATGGGTGCCCCTAGGGGGCAGATGGCACATAATTTATGTAAAAATTTATGTAAAAAGTTCCGCAGAACACGAGCAATTCCCCTGTGGGTCACCAGGCCTGCAGTCAGGGATGTCTAATGTAACAGCCAAGCCAGCAGGAACTGGATAAGTCCTCGCTGCTGACTGATAAGCCGGTGCAAACAATTATTTTTGGCAACAGCAGGGTTCCCCTCCAACAGGATAAACAAATTGTGTTTCACCTGGCGCTAGTACTGGCTGCTGGAGGGGCAGAAAACCTGCCGGCCTCCAGGGCCTTTCCTGGCAGAAACTCTCAGGGCCAAACACTGGCTGGCTCCACTGAGCACCTAAATTCTTTGACCAGCTGGGAGGGGGAGAGGGGCACGCCCCTGCCCAGAACAACTTTGACACCGGCTCCCAATAACACAGACGCACAAGGGCCCAGCTGCAACAAGCTAGCCTGACTTCCTGAAAGTACTTAAGCACGTGGACACTTTCCCTAATAAGTGGGATGCAGGAGCCATCTGCTCAGCTAAGGTTAGGAAGCAAGGAAGGAAGGAAGGAAGGGAGGGAGGGAAAGGGGGGAGGGAGAGGGGGGAGGGAGAGGGAGGGGGAGGGGGATGACCCTGGAGCACTCTGGGACCCCCCAAAGTTGGGCAGACCAAGAAGCTTACACTTACTTCTTCACGTTGGCTTCCCCATTGGGGATCCTCCGCAACTTCTTCTTCTTGAGGATTTTGACGGCTCTCCTGCACAACGTCTCCGAGTCCAGCACCTCCTTCACTTTGCCGTAGGACCCCTCCCCCAGCAGGTCCCCCATCAGGTATTTGCCAATGAGCTTCGCCCGCTTGCGGCGGGGCTGATAGATGACCTCGGTGGAGTCGATGCGGTGGATGAACGTGTCCATCCCCACCGACATCAGCTCACCCTCTGTAAACATGCCCAGCTGCTGCGGGTCTGCCACATCCATTCTGGACTCAAGATCTCCGATTCGCGCCACTGGCGGTCCCTTAATCCCCTTTATGGATACCCCGGTGAGAGGTTCTTCTTTTTGTCTCCCCCACCCCAAATTCCCTTCTCAAAAAAAATTCAAGAAAAGCACAAAAGAAAAACAGAAAAGAAAAACCCTTCTTCGAAAAGAAACGATTGTACTAAACGTGAGTTCAAGAGACCTGCCTGGTCCGAGGCCCGAGCATCCGACGCGGAGCAGCGTCGCAAGTGCGACCCGACCTGCCAACTTCAGGTCGGGCCGGCGTGTCCACGGGGACCCTGGGAAGGCCGGTGGGGTTGCGAAGTGCTAGGTCATCCTCCAGGGACTTTAGACCCTCGGGCAAAAGCGGACGCGGCCAAGCCAAGTCTTCTCCCGGTCGTCCATTACCAGCCAGCCGCAGCCCGCGCCCGGAGCCCCGGCAGGCCCCGGAGCCCCCAAAGCTGGGCAGTTAAGCTTCGCTGGGGACCAGGGCGTATCTACCGGCCTCACTGTCCTAGGCTCCCCGAGAAGTCGCAGGTGGCTATCCGGCTCGGTCCGCTGAGGCCAGCCCCGGGCGTGTGTCCGGAGACCGCCTGGGGCCCTCCTGCCACAAGGAGCAACTTCCGTCGGAGCCGGCCGCTTGGGAGCCCCCAAACGGGCCTGGGACCCCCCCCAAGCGGCCTCGCGGACACCCCCCTGACCCAAACGGCAGCCGGCGCTCGCTCTCCGCCCCGAACGCCGTCCGCTGCTGCCCTGGAAGCGCAGGGGAGCCCGTAGGACACCAGGCAGCCGAGGCAGAACAGGCCACAGGCACCGGGCAGGGGGTTCCCAAGGCAGCGGGGCCCGGGCGGCACGTCCCCAGCCGCTGCCACCGCGCGCGTGGAGCAGAAGGGGCGAGGCTGAGACCCAGCCCATGCAAGGTGGCCGCGTTGCCGCCCGGACCCACTGCCGCCTCCGTCCGTACCTCCACCTCACTCACGGGCGCCGCGGGCCGCCTCCCCCTTCCGCACCCAACACTCCACCGCCATCTTGTTTACCTCCCGCCCCCACCCTGCGCCGTCGCGCCGCCTCGGGCCCGTCCCCCGCGACGCCGACGTGCCCGCCAGTTGGCCGAGCTGGCACGCCCCGCCCTGCCACGAACATCGATTGGGCCGTTTGGACCCAGGGGCGCCTAAGCGGGGATTGGTTCGCGCTTGGCCCTGCCCCAGGGGTGGATACTGCTCGATCATTGGTTTGCGGAGGTGTCCTTCCTGGGTACGGAAGCGGGAGTGGAGAATTAAGGCTGTGGTTCGACCTCGGAAGGGTTTGGGGTTATGCTCGGAGGTCGGAGAGGCAACGTCCTCCTCGGAGTCCTCATCGGAACGTGCGCGGGGTAGGTGCAGTCTTCGTGGGCCAGGATGTGGCTCGGGGACCTCTCCCCGGGGATCTTTCTCGAGGCGAGGTCAAGGGCCAAAAAGCCCACCTCTTTCCATTTCTGGCTGCCGCGGCGAGAGGAGCTGCCGCCTCGTTTGCCACCCATTTGCACTGGATTTTGTAAGGAACTGCTCCAGCTTCCTGATCTAGAGGAACACGCAGACGTACAGCACCGAACTCAATAACCTGAAGGCCAAAACTCCTTTAGCTACAAGTTGATTGACGGCAAGACGGGCGTGGAGCCGGCAACCAATGGCAAAGGTGTATTGGTCATCTTCAAAAGGAGTTCTGGCCAGCTCTACGAATCACCATCAACAAAAGTGCCCCGGCCACCCTGAACAGCATCCGGCACTTGATCCGCAGGAACTGGTACCACCGGGATCTGTGCAAGGCCACAACTGCAGGGCCAGCGCCATCCTGCACAGCCAGAATCCGGTGATTGTTAAGTGGAAGCGGGTCACCCTACCAAGAGCTCCTTAGCAGCCCCCTTCCCTCGAAGCAATAAAAATATCAGCCAACTTTAAAACAAAACAAAAAAACGGTAGCCCAAAGTAGCCAAGGCAAAAAGCCTTAATTAAACACAGCTGGGGCCGGAGGGTGAGAAAAGTGAGCAGGTCGGTCTCTGCCCTCAAAGAATTCTGGAGTGAAAACGCAGAAGAGAGCTGGGTGAAAAAGTCTGACAAGTTAGTTTGATGAAGTTGAAAATAGCTCCTTTGTACCTTTCTGCTTCTTTTATTTTTTAATATCTTATTTATTTTTCGAGAGAGGGGAAGGGAAGGAGAAAGAGTGGGAGAGATATATCAATGTATGGTTGCCTCTCATGCGTTGTCCCCTGCTGGGAACTGGCCTGCAACCCAGGCATGTGCCCTGACTGGGAATCAAACCGCGATACTCTGGTACTCTGGTTCGCAGGCCCGCGCTCAATCCACTGAGCTACACCAGCCAGGGTACCTTTCTGCTTCTTAACACTAGATTATTTTGCCAGAAAAAATTGTCTTGTGTGAAGCTCCTGACTCACAACAGTCAAAAAGTGAAAAAGGTTGGATGCTGACACATCTGATTCGGGATCCAGGTTGGGGGTTCTGAGTCTGTGACCCTTGAACATCCTTAAAACCGCAACATTGAGTGCCCATGTGCATGTTGGAAACAATCCTTGAGTTTCATCAGATTTTTTTTAATTATTTAATTTTTAAAGTAAATTTACATCAGATTTTCCAATGACCCATATAAAGGAGATTGGTGTAGCTTTGAAGAGAAGAGGGGACACAAGGGGCACCACCATACCAGCAAGCCCAAATCAAAACGTGGGGATTGGCCCCAAACTCCTTTTGAGAAGGAAATCATAAAGATCAGAGCAGAAACCAAGGTAATAAACAGAATAGAAAAAAACGCTCTGGCTGGAGTAAATCAGTGGATTGAGTGCTGGCCTGTGAATGTAGAGGTCACAGGTTCCATTCCTGGTCAGGGGACGTGCCTGGGTTATGGCCTAGGTTCCCATTTGGGGGAGAAAAAGAATAGAAGAATTAATGAAGCAAAAAATTGTTCTTTGAAAAGATGCAAAGAAATCTACAAAGTTTAGCTAGATTGGCAAAAAAACAAAACAAAAAAACCAGTATCAAGAATGAAAGAAAGCATACCAGTCACCACAGACTCTAGAGATTAAAAGAATTTAATACCAGGGACAACTCTATGCCCATAAATTCAATACCCTACCTAAAATGGATCAACACCTTGAAAGATACTAAAATGAAAGCTCACTCAAAAAGAAATAGATTGTCTGCAGTCATATCTATTGAAGAAATTAAGTCTGTAGTGAAAAACCTTTCAACAAAGACAACTGTCAACAAAAGATCTCCTCCACCAACTAGGGAGACACAACCATCAGTAGAAAGAGAATGTACAACCCCATAGGCAAGGGTATGGCGGATTTAGAAGCTCCTGCTCCCTCCCTAATTGGTATACTTCTACATGAATAAGAACTCCAAATCTCCATAGTTTGATTGGTCAGTGAAGATGCAAGTAAGTCTATAGCTGGGTAGGTCTGATTGGATGAGGAAGTCTGAGTACTATTGGTCAAATTTCTATCCTAGGAGATCTCTTACAAAGGTCAATTTAGCATGCAAGAGGCTTAGAAGCCTGTCTATAGACAACTTGGGTAACAGGCCCCTATAAACAATGGCTGGTAGACCCTATAAACAATGGCTGGTTATAAATTTGGGCCCAGTTAAACACAAGAAGTCCTTCTTAGCAGCTATTCCTAGAGTTAACACAATTAAGGCTCAGATGGTTTCACTAGTGAATTTCCACTGAATGTTTTAGGAAGAAAAACAAGATGAGGGAATGCTACCTAACTTGAATTCCTTTTGGCATGTTTTTTTTTTTTTTCATTGCTGACTTATGATCAAACTTCTTGGAATCTGGGAGTCTCATTGACAATCTTGGTATCTGTAGGCCCCAATTTCCTTCAATGAGTCCAGACTCTTCTGATATGCAGAACACACGAAGGGACTTGGGAAATGTCAGGTGACCATTGCAGAAAGTCCTTGAAAGTGAAATTTCTGCTCAGATACCACATCCTCCAAGAAGCCCTCCTGGTCATTCCCTGGAACATACCTCCCTTTTTTTCCTTGTTACTGAATTTATTGCGGTGACAGTGTTTAACAAAATTATACAGGTTTCAGGTGCACAATTCTGTAACATCATCTGTAAACTACATTACATGTTCATCACCCCAAGTCAAGTCTCTCCTTGACTCTTGATCACTCCTCCACCCTCCTCCACATAGTGCCTTCCTACTTGATTTTCTTCTTCTTAACCCTTGTCACCATCAGAAATTATCTTATTTGCCCTGGCTGGTGTGACTCAGTGGATTGGGCACTGGCTTGAAACCTAAAGGTTGCCAGTTCGACTCCCAGTCAACGCACATGCTTGGGTTGCAAGCCAGGTCCCCAGTTGGGGAAATGTGAGGCAAGTGATCAATATATCTCTCACACATCAATGTTTCTCTCCCTCTCTCTGAAAATAAAATCTTTAAAAAATAAATATTTAAGAATTGTTATATATATATATCTATATCTATTTATTTAAAAATCCTTACCCAAGGATATGTTTATTGATTTTACTTTTTAAAAATTTTTATTTACTTATCTTTAGAGGGGAAGGGAAGGGGAAAGGGAGAGAAACATCAATGTATGGTTGCGTCTTGTGTGTCCCCTGCTGGGAACTGGCCTGCAACCCAGGCATGTGCCCTGACTGGGAATCAAACCGCAATCCTCTGGTTCACAGGCCCGCACTCAATCTGAGCTACACCAGCCAGGGCTGTTTGTTGATTTTTTAAGAGGGAGGGAGAGAGAGAGAAACATCACTAGTTGCCTCCTGTGCGAGCCCTGACCAGGGATGGAACCCAAAACCTAGGTACATGCCCTGACCTGGGATCGAACCTGCAACTTTTTGGTGTATAGGACAATGCTTCAACCAACTACACCACCCAGCCATGATCATTTATATATCTTCATCTATTTTTTTTCTATCTCTGGCAACAGACTGGGAGTTCTCTGGAGCTGAGTCTGGGTCTGTCCTGGTCACTGCTGTACCTACCCTCAGCAGTGAGAGCTGTGAAGTCCAGTTCAGCAGCCACTGGCCACATGTGTCTAATAAGCTCTTGTAATGTGGCTGCCCGAATCAAGATATTCTGTGCATGTAAATTATACACTGGATTTCAAAGGCTTATCATGGGAAAAAAAATATATCAATAACTATGATGATAAAACACAATAACATACTGATTGTGTGTTGAAATAACTATTTTGTTCAAATAAATGTTATTAAAACCATACCCACTAAGATGGTTATGATACCAAAACATGGACAATAACAAGTATTGACAAGGATGTGAAGAAACCAGAATCCACTTAGAAAAGGTGCAGCTATGTTGTAAAAAAGTCAAAAGTTAAACACAGCCCCTGCCTGGTGTGGCTCAGTGGATTGAGCACCAGCCTAAGAACCAGGGGTTCACTGGTTCGATTCCCAATCAGGGCACAGGCCTGGGTTGCCAGCCAGGCTCTCAGTTGGGGGTGTGTGAGAAGCAACCTAATGAGATGTCTCTCTTGCACGTGGATGTTTCTCTCCCTCTTTCTCCCTTTAAAAATAAATAAAATCTTAGGGAAAAAAGGGTTAAACACAATGTTTCCATATGGCCTAGCAATTCCGGGTCCACACAGAAAACTGCCTACAGATGTCCACAGCAGCAAGATTTACGGCAGGATTCACAGCAGCCAAAAAATGTAAACAGGAATATTTGAGATCTTGCTTCCTGGTACTTACAAGTTTGGGCTCCAATAAACTCATTAAAAAAAAATTCTTAGCCCTGGCTGGCATAGCTCAGTGGATTGAGCGCGGGCCTGCGAACCACATGATCTTCAAAAAAAAATTCTTAAAATAACTCAAATGCCCATCAATGGATGAATGGACATACATAATGTGGTCAGTCCACAAAACAGAATATTACTCGGACACCAAAAGTAGTGAAGCACCGACACTCACTACAACATGGATGGACCTTGAATGCATAATGCTCATTGAGAGAAGCCAGATCAAAAAGCCACATAGTATGTGATTCCATTTATGCGAAATGTCCAGAACAAGCAAATCCAGAAACAGAAAATGGGGAGTGACTGCTAAGAAGGGGGCTTTTTTTTTGCAGTGATAGAATGTTTTAGCCCTCCCTCTTTTGCCCCCATCACAGGTGAGCAGACCGAGATCGCAGAGGGGAAGCCACCTACCCGCTCAGGCTGAGTGGGAACTCTTATCTCAATGCCCATCCTGGGAGCTCCTAGGAACCCTGTAAGGATTCTAGCACCATCTGCTCAGGGTGATGCAGGCCTTGGGGCTCTCCAGCTACTCTGTCTGCTTAGGGTTTGTAGCAATGAACAAACCCAGGTCAGGCCAGCATGGAACCAGATTTGGGGGTGCTTGAGACCCCTGTGGGGCTGCTCTCAGCCTCTCCAGGGACCCTCCCGCTGACTTCAGTTCTTTTCCCAGCACAAATCCTCAGCCAAGGCACCTTGGCCTCTCACTTCCCATTTCTATTAAAGGACAATTAACAATACTGTACGTCATTAAGTATAAGGCCATTGGTGGTGAGATGCACTGTTATTCGGTGAATGACCATGAAAAGCAAAGAACAGCCAGCAATACTTTGAGCCTGACCTCTGGGAAGATAAACTGTGACAAATGGGAATAACCATAGGGCTAGGCAGTAGTTGTAAGTACTTGGAATAGCCCTGGGAAAATTCTTGTCCTGTATCTTCTCATGCTTACCACCCTACAGGTTTTGCTAAGAATCCTGGGTTTACAGGTGTGGGCCCCAAGTTATAGGGAGAGTACTCAGATTTTAAATGGAGGGCTCCACACAGACATTCATGTTCAGCCAGCCCCCAGACCCACTTGCCCCTGTAAAGCCCCCTTGCTAACCCTCTTGCTTCCCCCAGCTCTGATGCCAAGAACCACTTCCCCGCTGAAGACAGAGGAAGCCAACTCCTCCTGGCCACTCTCTGGGGTGGCTGCCCCCATCCTGGATCTGCTCCCACTTAGTGGGTTAAGTAAATGTTGAGTTTCTGACCCCAGGCACAACTCACCCCAGATCTAGCTCAGCCCATGCCCCATGATGCAGGGCCCCCCGGAGCAGGAGTCCTTCCAAAAATAGATCAGCTCTCTCAGATAATCCAGCCATGTTTGCAGATTAGGATGTGGCCAGAGAGGGGCCAGGTCTGTGTGAACTTCTGTGGTGGGGAGCCATGGCCCAGGCTTTCTGGGTGCTTGTGATGCTGGGGCTCACATACAAACCCAGTCCCTTGGGGTAGTAACACCTGGATTGTCCTTGTTGTCACCCCTTATTGGACCTTGTCAACAATAGGATGGGAATGCGCAGACTCACATGCTGACAGTCACCTATCTTTCACTCTAGACCACATCCCTCTCCCTCACCATGGACATCTGGGCTGGGTCATCCTCTGTGGAAGAGGAAAGTCCTGGATACTGTGTGTATGAAGCAGCTTCCCTGCCCTGACTGGTCAGTGGTTTGGGCATCATCGTGCAAACCCAAAGGTCACTGGTTCAATTCCTGATTGGGCCATATGCCTGGTTGCAGGCTGGTCCCCAGATGAGGGGCACATGAAGCAACCCATTGTTTTTCCTGCCTGTTGAAGTTTACCTCCTTTCTCCTTCCCTTCTTCCTAAAAATAAAAAATTAAAACAAAAAGATCTCTTTACACTTCCACACCCCACACCTACCTACCTCTGTATATCGATTAGATAGATAACACATACTCATTGTGGAAATTTTGGGAAATATAGATTTTAAAAAATGAAGCAGCTTCCCTGGCCCCACCCATTCAATGCCACGAGCACCCCGGTTGAGACAATTACACATGTTCCCAGACATGACCTAGTGACCCCTGGTACCCTGGTACCAGTGACATAGGTCACCTGGGGTAAGGATCACTTATGCCTGAGAACCACTGGTTTAACAATACACATGTACCCATGAAAGTTTATCGTTTCAAAATACTCCTGGGCATAGTGTATTCTGGAGAAAGTGTCCTGATGTGGATCCTAGGATTTTTTATTTTTTAAGATTTTATTTATTTATTTTTAGACTGAGAGAGACAGAAAGGGAGAAACAAGAGAAACATCAACGGCTGCCTCTCGTGAGTCCCTCACTGGGAACCTGGCCTGCCACCCAGGCATGTTCTCCAATTGGGAATCATACCAGCGACCCTTTGGTTCAGAGGCTAGCACTCAATCCACTGAGCCACACCAGCCAGGGCGTATTTTTATTTTTAAATAAGGTGTAGCAAGTTCCTGGTTCACATAGGTGGTGCATTACTTGGCCAAGGAAGGCACAGGGTTCTGCTTCTGTGACACAATGTTGGGAGGTCTGCCACCTTGCACCCATTAGGATGGCTACCACCACAAAACAAAGACTGCAAAAGCCCCCCCACAAAAAACAGATAAGAAGTGCTAAGGAAGATTTAGAGAAATCAGAAGCTTGTGGACAGCTGGTGGAGCAGCTTCTATGGCAAAAAGGATGGCGGTTCCTCCAAGAATTAAACATAATCACCATTCAAGCCAGCAATCGCATTTCCAGGCAGACTCAAAACAATTGAGAGCAGGATACGGAAATTATTTGTGCACACATGTATGCAGTAGCACAATTCACAGCAGCGAAGTGTCCCCCACAGGTGACTTTAACCTTCCACTTGCTTAGGCCAAAACCCAGGTGTCATTTGGACCTTCTCCCCAGACACCATCAGTCACGAGGACTCCTTAAAATCTCACTGCTGAGGCTTGTCCCCCACCCCCCATTAAGGAAACAAATCTGATCAGGAAGCTTTAAGGAGCAGGATCAGGACCCCTCGGCATCACACTGTACAGGGGTGGTATGTGACACCCTGATCTGTCCCTAGAGAAGGCTTAACCCAAGGCCCATGGTCCTGGGGCCATTGTGTAAGGCTTTCGGATACCAATCAGGAACATCATGTCCAAAGAGAGGGATAGATGCAGGCAGCAAGGTAAGAACAAGGGGCAATGAGGGACACTGGGCAGGTATGTGAATTGGAGGGAGTGGGGCAAGAGGCTCAGTCCATTCAAAGGCTCTTGCTGTTCATGTGCTTGACTGTAGAACCGAGCCCTTGAATGGGGAACGTGAAGGGCCCAATTAGGGGATGGGGGCCTGAGGGGAGATACTACACTCAGCCCAGCAGTGGCCACCTCTTTGAGCCAAAGGGCATTCAGAGATGCTATGTGGCGAAACTTGTGGATATGGGTTTGGAGGGTCAAGGCACAGGGGCAGAGAGAAGACAGTTTAGGTTCCTGACTACCCCCCCAATCTCAGTTTGTCACAAGGAGCTCCCAACCCACCCACAGTCTATGTTGCCACCACTGAGGTCCCCTTCACTGCGGGGGTGGACACCCTGCCCAGGGCCCCAGACACTTAAAAGGATGGGCTGCACTCAAACTAAGTCAGTCTGTGCTTTTATTGACTACTTGAGAGGGATGAAGCGGGAAGAGTGGGTGGCCCCAATGCCGGGCCGACCATGCTTCACTGGCTTATAGGTGATGGAGAACTCGCCCAGGTAGTGGCCAATCATCTCTGGCTGTGGGAGGCGAAGAATGGACCAGTGTTAGGTTACCATGGGTGGAAAAGCCCACACCCACCCAAGCGGCTCAGCCTCACACACCTTGATTTCCACCTGGTTGAAGGTCTTCCCATTGTACACGCCCACCATGCTGCCCACCATCTCTGGCAGGATAATCATGTCCCGCAGGTGTGTCTTCACCACTTCAGGCTTCTCCATGGGCGGCGCTTCCTTCTTCGCCTTGCGCAGGCGCTTTAACAGGGAGTGCTGCTTCCTCCGAAGGCCGCGGTTCAGCCGCCGCCGCTGCCTGGCACTGTAGAGCTGCATCAGCTGCTCACTAGGTGGGAGAGGGCAGGCGGCATGGGTGGTCTAAGCCCTGGGAGAAACCAATACCCTTCACCCACTAACAAGGCTGCTCCCTGTTGTCCCCAAAAGCAACGTTCACGGCCCAAATATTCAGGATGAACCCCGCAAATCCGACAACCTTCACATCACTGTCTAGAAACCGAGGCAGCAGTACAGGCAGCTCAGGTGAGGTAGTGCAGCAGGAACCCCGTGGGCAAAAGGCTGTGCTCCTAAAGGCCTCAAGAATCTAGGAGAAGGGCCAAATCTAGAAAGCCCTCAGCCTGCTGTGTTTCCAGGAAACTGGGTCCTCCACGCTTACACCCAGGTACACCTTCAGCAGACAAGGGGTCCCTGGCTGTCAGCAAGCCTTCCCCCTCATCTGGAGGCCAAGACCTGTACCCACCCTGCCCCGGGGGGCAGAGTTTTTAAGAAGCACAAGTCAGACCACCACTACCCTGCCTAGAAGCTTCCAGCTTCGACCAAATCTTAAACCAGGAGCCACAAACTCCCCAAGTGCCAAGCCCGGGCCCGCTGCCTGACCCTACAAGGCTCGTGAGGTACGGACATTTGCGTTTTCAAGCAAATGGGAAGATGTCAAACAAGACACGTTAAATTTAAATTATTGTCAAACCCATCCGTCCACCCTCGGGCTAAGGCCGCGTGGGCATGTCTGGCCGTAGTCCCCAGTCCCCTGGCGGCCCCCTTCCGCCTCCACCCATTCCTTGGTCCGGCAAACCCTTACTAGGACATGTCAAGTAGTTGATCGAGATCCACGCCACGATAGGTGAACTTGCGGAAGGTCCGCTTCTTCTTCTGCTCCACTTCCGCCTGTGTGGGCCAGGGTCAGGGGTGAGCGCGAGCCCGAGACCCACCTCCCACCTCTACGGCCACAGCGGGGACACCAGGCCCAAGAATCCCGCCAGAAAACACACGACACCCCCAGCAGACGAGTCCGTCGGGACACATTACCATGGGCTCGCACCAGGGCGGCACACGCGGCTACGGGGCCTTGGCTGTGAAAGAGAACTCGTACAACTGTACGACCCGCCCCGGGCCGTCGCGACACCCCCAGGTCCGCACGACGACCCCACATCCGGCGGCCCCGGCAGCATGGAGGAGGCTGTCGGAGTTGCAGGAGCTAACCCGGACCCCAAAGAAGCAGCCTGAGCCAGGATGGTGCCAGATAAGACCCAGAGACCAGCAAAGCTTCAACTCTTACCATCTTGTTGGTTCTCCGGAAAGGACCACCCACTCTGCGTCTGCGCAATTACCGCGAGCTCGCCCCTGTGCCCCGCCCCTCGGCCGTGCCTGCGCATGCGCTCCAGCTTCTTCGGGGGAGGGCGCGCGCCCTCTGTTGTCCGGGGGGTAGAGCTCACGCTGCGAGGACAAAAACGGCAGGCTGGAGACCTTTGCTTTTGCTGGGATTGGACGCCAACCCCCAGGGTGAGGCCGGGCGCCTGGAGTTTAGGGCCCTTTTCTAAATGTCACTACCCCTTCCAAACATCATGTTCATGCTTGCGATCTCCATTAATGGAACCCAACCTAACAAGTGTTTATGGAGCACCTACTGTTGGCAGTCAGCGCTGTCTAGTTCGGGTCCAACGTTCCCTGATAGAGCTGTTGTTGGAGTGAGAGGCAGTCCCTGTAAGGAACTCTGATGTAGTTATCAGAGCCAGGAAGGGTGGGACACTAGCTTCTAACAGATAGTCAGAAAAAGGCATCCCTGATAAGAACCAGCCAGCCTTGAACTGACGAAATTATTTAAGTAACAAGTATATAACAATGCACTGCCAGGTCTGTAACATACGTTGATGTAATAAATATAACAGTAACAGCAAAAAAAGGAACAAGGCACTAAGCTATATAGGAGTACTGTTTCTGTATTCACTGGAATTAAGTTATTACCCATCTGAAGGTGATTCTGGTATATTAAGATGCATATGGGCCCTGGCTGGTGTGGCTCAGGGAATTGAGTGCCAGCCTGCCAACCGAAAAGTTGCTGGTTCCGTTCCCAGTCAGGGTACATGCCAGAGTTGTGGGCCAGGTCCCCAGATGGGGGCGTGTGAGAAGCAATTGATCAATGTATCTCTCGCACATTGATGTTTCTGTCCATCTTTCTCCTTTCTATATGTATATGGTACCAAAGGACCAAGCAATCCCACTTCTGTGTGTACCCCAAACAATTGAAAGCAGTTACTCGACCAGATCTGCACACCCATGTTTAGAGCACCATGATTCACAATGGCTAAGAAGTGGAAGCAACCCAAGTGTCCATCAACGGATGAATGTAAGCAAAATGTGGTGCATCCACACACTGGAATACCCTATTTGGCCTTAAAAAGAAAGGACACTCTGACATTTACTACATGGATGAACCTTGAAGACACACTCAGTGACAAATACTGTGTGATTCCACTCATAGGAGGCCCCTAGAGGAGTCAAATTCATAGAGACAGAAAGCAGAATGGTGGGAGCCAGGGCTGGGGAAAAAGGGTGAAAAGTTAGTGTTTAATGGGGACAGAGTTTCAGTTTGAAAAAGTCCTGGAGATGGACGATGGGAATGATTGCACAACAATGTGAATGTATGTAATGGCATGGAGCTGTGCACTGAAAAATGGTTACACATAGCAAATTTATGTGTATGTTGCTACAGTAAAAAACCAGCCCTGAGCCCTGGCTGGTGTAGCTCAGTGGATTGAGCGCGGGCCTGCAAACCAGACAATCGAGGTTTGATTCCCAGTCAGGGCACGTGCCTGGGTTGCAGGCTGGTTCCCTGCAGGCCAGTTTCCAGCAGGGGACGCACGAAAGGCAACCATACATTGGTGTTTCTCCTCCTCTCCTTCCCTTCCCCTCTAAAGATTAAAAAAAAAAAATCTAAACAAACAAACAAGCAAACAAAAAAAAACCCAGCCCTGGCTGGTAGCTCAGTTTGTTAGAGAATCAACCCGATACACCAAGGTTGTGGGTTCAATCCTTAGTCAGGCACATACATGAATTGAGAATCAACCAGCCGTGACCAGTGTGACTCAGTTGGTTGAGCATTAGCCTCCAAAGCAAAATGTTACTGGTTTGATTCTAGGTCAGGGCACATACATAGGTTGTGGGTTTGGTCCCCAGTCAGGGTGAGTACAAGAGGCAATTGATCAATGTTCCTGTGCCGTACTGATGGTATTTCTTTCTCCCTTCCCTACCACTCCCCTCTTAAAAGAAAAGAAAGAATGCATAAATGAGTGATGAGTGGAACAATTTATAAAAAGAATATACTTAAAAATCCAACCGAACATGTATATAGTAAGCTCTTAGAGGATCCTCTAAGAAAATTACCCCAAATACAATTTATAAAGTCATTAAAGAGGATAAAAATGCTACACTAGAAAACAGTCGACTGTAAAAGAAAGAACTAAGAGAGGCATTAAAGACAAAAAAACACTATGACATAGAAAACAAAGTGAAATGGCAGAGCACAGCCCAAGCATATTGGTAATACTAATGTGAATTCATCGAAGAGGCAACCAGCCCTGCTGGGAAGGCACTTTCCTGGAAGAGGGAGCATGTGTGCAAAGGTCCTGGGGTAGGGATGACCTGGGTACTCTTAAAGCAAGAGAAACCAGTGTCACCGATTGAGCCCTCAGTTCCCTCCTGGCCTTCAGTCCAGCTTGTTGGCTAGGGTTTGGCTGACACCAGTGACTGTGGGGAGCTGGGTAGGCCTGGAGGAAAGGAAGTTCAGAATCTCAACCATTTTCACAATCCTAGGGAAAGAGCCAATTAAATTCCACTCAAAGGAGGGGCTACCCTCTCTGTCCCTAAGGGAGTAAACTGTTTGGAGTCAAAGGATATGTTCTTTAGGATGTGAAAGGTAATACATGTTATTGAGAGTCCTGGCTGTCTGGAAATCTGTTTGCATGATGCCCTTTGCCAGGGACCTTAATTTTGCCAATTAATTTCACTAGCGAAAGGAGCTAAGATTTAACTCTGATACCATGGTGTGAGCCTGCTCCTCCTGCATTTTCTGTAAACCTGGGTGGCAGCAGCTCCAGAAGGAAAAGGGAAGGGCCATCCAGAGGCCCTCTGGAGATCATGAGGAAATTTGCCTGGGCTGAGTTCTGGGAATTTGGGGGTATGGCTGTTTTCTTCATTAGTTTTATCTCAATCCTGGCACATTAAAGGTACTGAGTTCATTTTGGACAAATCAGTTTATGTTTTAAGAACATTTTAATTCTTTAGAAAATTTTTTGATTTTAGAGAAAAAGAGAACACAGGGGAGTCGATTTGTTGTTCCACTTACTGATATAAATTGGTTGATTTTGTATGAGTCCTTACTGGGGATGAAACCCACAACCTTGCCCTACCAGGATGATGCTCTAACCAACTTAGCTACCTGGCCAGGACATGTTTTAAAACCTTTTTTTTTTTAAAGATATATTTTAAATTTATTTTTAGAGAGAGGGGAAGGGAAGGAGAAAGAGTGGGAAAGAAACATCAATGTGTGGTTGCCTCTCATGTGTCTCCTACTGGGGACCTGGCCTGCAACCCAGGCATGTGCCCTGACTGGGAATCGAACCAGCCACCCTTTGCTTCACAGGCCTGTGCTCAATCCACTGAGCTACACCAGCCAGGGCCATGTTTTAAAATCTTGATTGTGATCATTAAAACTACAAAATAACAGTCACCAACGACATCCCTGTGGATTTTAACCCCGAGACCATGTCAGATTCAGGAATGTAAGAGAATAAATGTTTTTTAAAGACTTTATTTATTTTAAAAAAAAAAGATTTTATTTTTAGAGAGAGGGAAACATCAATGTGTGGTTGCCACTTCTGGGGACCTGGCCCACAACCCAGACACGTGCCCTGCTGGGGAATCAAACAGGTAAAGCTTTGGTTTGCATACCAGCCAGGGCTAAACATGTTTTAAGCCATTTTGTGGTGACTGGTCACAGTGGCTATAGACACATACACTAGAATAATTAGTCACAATTGTTTCCCAGGGGCCTGACTCCTGGGACCCAGAAGCTTATCCCTACTACTCCCACCTTATGGAGAGAGGCCAGGCTAGCTTCAGCCTGCATGCAAGCTCTAACTCACCTCCCTTCTCAGGGGGGCAAATAGGGGCTTAACTGAATGTCCAGAAGCCCTGGACATCTGGGGTGGGGGGCAGTCAAGACAATAGAAGGGTTTTGCAAGCCAGGCCCATGTGTGTCCAAAAGGAAGGGGCAGCAGCCCTTATGGGGTGTCAGATCCCATTCCACATTCCTGGCTCCAGGGCCCCTTCTTTCCTTTTGCCTCCTATCCCCGACTCCCTACTCCTCTCCAGGTGGACTTGAGCCTAAAGGCTGGGAGCAAGCTGCCCTACTGCCTGGTCCAGCCCTACCTCTAGGGCTCTAAGTGTCCCAGCCACCATGCTTCATCCCAAGGCCCTGACTGGATGACCCAATGCAACATCACTAAAAATCAATAGCCTAGTTTGTGCAAAGGTAAGCAGGCTGCCCAAGGCCACAATCCAGGTGCCATTCCCACAGGGACTGGGGAGGCCTGGTCAATCAATCCCCAGCCAGATCTGTCTGGTTGCCTTTTCCTTGACACACAGTGAGTAGCCATGAACCCTAGAACCCAGGCCTCTCGTACTGGCTCTGCAGCTCTCACCAGGCCTCTACCCGACCACCCTAAAACCCATATCCACCAGAACCCCAAGACCCCCAGACCCACTGAGGTAGGGTCCAGGCCCCACAGTCAAGTAGGCCACAAGTAGCTGCAAGACCATGGAGGAGCCAGAGTAGGCACAGGTCCTTCCATGGGCAGGGGCTCTGCCCTGGCAGGGAGGGAACAAATGACACAACGTGGGTTCTAATCCAAACGCACTTCTCTTTATTCAAACCAGGGTCAAACTGGTCAGTGGGGATGCCCTGAAGCCACATGCGCAGGAAGTGGGCTGACAAGGCCTCCTGGTCCTGTATGCAGTTGGACGCGGGGTGGCTGCCAGCTGAGCCAGGCGGTATGGCACCCATGGCACACTTGCAGACACCGCCAGGCAGATCAATCAACAAAAGCAAGGAATAAACAAAAACAAAACACGCTCAGTAGATTACTTCTTTAAGCTCCAGAGTTTCTGGACCAATGAGTCCCAACCCTCAAAGCCAGGAGTACGGGGACCAAAAACACCCCTCACTTCCACCAGTGCCGACAGAAACCCTGTTTTAAATTAAAAAATAAGCCAGTATACACTGTAGAAAATTTCTCTTAAAAATCTCACAATTTGTAAATGTATATTTTTTTCTTTAACATAAAAGTTTACAATATACGGTAAAACAAAAGGCTCAGGAAAATAATTTCAAAAAAAAAAAAGGAAGAAAAAGAAACCTGAAATTTTGAATTAAAGCTGAAGACATTTTTTTAACCCTGTTGTTGAACCAGTGACTTTTTTTTATTGTGCTGATGGGTTAGAGAAAGAAATGTATTTAAAAACTCCAGTCCAGACACCCACAGCCGCCTCCAAGAGCCTCACATCTGCCCCTCCCCCCAAGGTTGAATCTCAATTTTTTCTGCCAAGTTTTGTGATTGTCACGAGTTCACAAGTTTTGAATCCTGGGTCTCAGCCATCTAGCCATCTGCGTGGCGCCAGCCAGCTAGCGTCGGTAGGGGTGGAATCCTTGCACGTTGTGGTTCTGACCTCGTCCAAAGCCACTTCCACCGGCAGGGGGGCCCCCAGAACCTGGCACTGAGGGGCCCCCATAGGAGGGGGGCTGCTGGCTGGGGTCTGAGAAGCCCTGCCCAAAGCCGGCCAAGTCCTGTCCATAACCTGTGGGGAAAGAGCACAGTGAGTGGCCAGGGAGCCAGTGCCACCAAAAGGACCCAGGGTCCCACTCCTGCCTGGTGTCACTGGGCCTCCAGGAGTAATTGTCTCGAGAAAAGCCCACCTTGAAACCCCAGCAGGACCCTGTCTCTGCATGGAAAGAAAAGTCGGAGAGACCTCATGGACCCATAGTCTATCCTCTCTGCTCTTGGTCAGTTTCCACTTGTCCCCAGACTCAGGGTGGGGGCCCTGGTGGCAGAGCTGAGGGTCAGAAGAGACCTTTGGGCTTGGAGACACACATCACCCGGCTCAGTTCTGTGGACCTCAGGCTCCTAGAAAGTCTGTTCTTGAGGACCATGCAGGGTGGGCTCAGGCACAGCTTTTAGGATTTAAGGAAACATCTGATCTACCCTAACCTCCCTCCCTCCCTCCCAAATGCACCCGATTCCAGCCAGTCCTCCCTCCAGCCTCGACTCCCTTGAGTCAAGGCTTCCATAGCACTGGGAAACACTGAGTGGTAGCGGGGTGGGCAGGACCTGCATACTGAGCATGAGGCTTCAGTGACTCAAGTTGGCCACACCTGCAGAGCCCATCTGGGTGGGGCAGGTCCCTACACTAAACAGGACCCTGACTCTGCACCACTGACCTTGGAGGAAACGAAGGCACTTCTGGAAGAAGGGACAGTACTACCTTTGCTCTCTGCCCACCCGGACCACACATTTTGGATGACGGCCATCCCAGGGCCCCCAGATTCCCATCGGGAGCACACTTGGAGGCAGAGCTCCTGGGCCATGTCCCAGAGGGCAGCATGAGTCCACCCCACCCGGGATGGCAGAGGAGGTGACGTCCAGTGCCCGGGTGCAGGCAGGTGAGGACCGTGCATGAGGAGGCGCTACCTACCTAGGCCATATCACTGCTCAGCCTGACCATAAGAGTGTAAACAAAGTATGGGCCCGAAGCCCGCAGGGTCTTGAGAATAGGTACCCAGGCCTGGCGAGAGACGAGACCAGGGTGACTACCCCAGGGTGTAGGGAGAAGACACTCTCGAGATCAGGTACACCCCCACCCAGGGCCGCTCACACGTCTGCCGCCAACACGTCCTGCTCGTCAGGGTCGAGAACCCATGCGCTCAGTGACTGCAGCCCTGCAAGGCCCCGAAGGGAAGAAGAGTGCAATGCAGGGGTGCTGGGGAGCATCTGGTCAGCTGGTGAGACTGCACTGGAGGGTAAGAGTGGCCTGACTCACAGACACTGCAGTCTTGGGTGACCCACAATTCATGCCATGAAGTGGGAAATGAGGGGCTCAAAACTCTCGCAGGAACCCTGGAGGCCCTGGCACCTAGCAACTGGCAAGGAACTGAACCCAGTGTGGAGAGACCCTAGGCTACACTCTGTCCTCACACAAGCTCCCCCACTCAGCCGTCACCTTGCAGACCCGACTCAGAAGCACCTACTCCATGACCAGCCCCTAAAGTGAAGCACGAAGCCAACGCCAAAGCCAATACCTGTCCCAGACCAGAGCTGAGACCACCCAGCCAACACTCTTGCCTATGCTCTGTACTTGGATATTCAAGGCATCCATAAGACGAGCCTGCCAGGGATGCCCTTGGCCCAAGAGCAATCACAGCCTCCCTCACACCATCCTTCTGGGGGCCCAGCCAAGGCCTCAGGTTCCCAAACCCACAGGCCCAGGGACAACTGCTGCACAATCCATGCTTTTCTATGACTAGTGCCCTGGCAAAAACCCAAGCAACTTAAATCTCTCATGACACTTGCTTGATCCTGCATTACACGAACTCTCCAACCACTCCCCGCAACTCGGATCACCCGACCTGGGAATAATGGCAGGAAATCCACCTGTGAGAGATGAAGGCAGGAGGCACAGCCACTCACCGTACTGACTATAGGGGAAGTCTGGCTGTGCCGTTGGGGGCTTGTTCATGTCTGGGGCAGCCTGAGATGGAGGTGGCGGGAAGGCCAGAGGTGCTGCCCCTGGAGTGGCAGGTGGAGGGGGGACCCCTGGAGGTGCAAACTGATCCGGCGGTGGAGGTGGAGGCCCGTAGCCGAAACCTGCAAACAAACAGGACAGAAAGACAAACACCATGCTCACCCATAGGAACCTTCAGATTTCCAGCTGAAATGTGTGAGCAGCCAGGCCCCGAGGACAAGGGTTAAGAGACCAACATGAAAACTGTGGACAGGTGGGACACAGGGAGGTGGCTAGTAATTTAAGTGGAAGTCACTGCTTGGGAATGTTAATAGGACAGAAGTCAACCACCCAACACAGCACAATCCATGTACTTTGAGAAGACAAAAGTCACACCCAACTCGTGTGCTGTCCTCAGACTGCAGATATTGTTTCTATCGCTCTCTCATCTTGTTAGAAATAGACTTCATCTAGGACACGAGAGCAGACCTTTTCTGTAAAAAGCCACAAGGTCATTATATGGCCTTGCTCTAGGCCAAGGAACTGAACTGCCCAGTCCTGGTCCACAATGCTGCCCCAAAAGTGACATACCCAGATCCCAAGAACTTAATAGGAAAAAGCCTGTATAGGACCCTTTATGCTGGTAGAATGACATGTGGCCATTCTGGTTTAGGTGAGGGGTTCCCCTTTAGTGAGGAACCCAGATCTCAGCACACAGATGCACTGTTTTGTTCTAAAGGTGCTGGGGCAGGAGGAGAGCCCTAACCTTCCTGGCGAGTTGGCTGTTCAACCACCAGATCTTTAACCACAAAGCAAAGCACAGAGAAAAATTAATTGAGACCTGAAGCTCCCTCAATCTTGAACCACAAAGATCAGGTCCAGAGACCCGTTCCAAGAGATAACCACGAGAAAGAGTGAGGTCTCTGTGCTGTGAAAAGTCCTGCAGAGCCCATGGCGTCAGCCCATAAGGGGGCCAAAGCCAACAAATGTACAAGTCCACAAGGCCGACCTGCCCCTTTCCTCCATGCAGAGGAACTGTGACAGGCTGCACCCCCTAAGTAAACAAAAGGCAGTCTATAAAAGGTATGCAACAAAGGCTTTCCATGGCCCAAGGACTTACTGAATTGCGGGGGTGCCCCATAGCCCTGTGGGAAGCCTTGTGGAGGGGGGAACCCTCCAGGAGGGGTGGACACAATGTAAGACGTAAATGGCGGGGGTGGCGGGGGAGCTCCTCTTCCTGCAGGCGGGGGTCCATAGCCACCTGGAACACAGGACACAGGTCGAGAGAGAGAGTATGGCACATGTAGTCCCCAATTATCGAGACCCAGGCCCACCGCACTTTGGACTGTCACCTCCTGTTTCCCAAACAAAGACTTACCAATTGCCTGTCCTGCTGGCACCCACATTCCTAAACCAGAAAACAAAAGATGGGGATTGGTGCTGTGTCAGCCCAATGTCACCAACTGGGGGCTGAGCCTACCCTCTCACCCCAGGAGCATGACTGCCATGCTGGCGGGACCCTCCTAGAGCCCCACTGGACACAGGGAAGATGTAGCAGTCCTGAGGGACATGTCCTGTGATCTTAAGAATGCTGAGTATTGCTGTCCATGTCCTCTCCCACAGGGAAAGATCCCAAGAAAAGTCATCAGGTCAAAGGGCCCTGGCTCTTCAACAGAACAGTCAAAAAGGATGAAGAGGAGCCCTGGCCAGGTGGCTCAGCTGGAGCATCATCTCACATACAAAGTTTGCGGGTTTGACCCCCAGTTGGGGCATATTCCAGAGGCAGATAGATCAATCTCTCCCCCCACCCCCTTCTCTCTCTAGAATCAACAATGAGCATAACCTCAGGTGAGGACTTAAAAAAAACAAAAAAAAGGATGGAGGGGATACCCACAGATTAGGGCCAGGGACTCAGGTACACATGTGGGATCTCAGGCCAGGCTGCTGGCCAAGCATAGGTCCTTCACCTGCTGGTGGATGAGTGTCTGGAATCAGTAAACAGTTTACCAGAACTGTTCTATTTTGTAATAAAATGCAGGTTTTAAGAGAGACAGCTCTGGAGAGAGCAGGGATAAAGTCTCAAGCTGTGTAGACAGCTCTGTGAAACCGCAGGTGTCAGGTGCCTGGCTGCAGACAGACCCACCTGGCCTCCTTTTGCCTCTCTCTAGATGTTGCCACTTCCTTGGGTTTCCAATGAGGGTGGAGGCTCCCAAATTCTGTCTCAGGGCCCACCCACCAGCTGGCTTAGGTATCTCTAACCACTCTGCGGACCCTACACAGAGGACTTGACAGTCCAGCTGATGTCAGCCTGGGGAACAGGGACAGACCCAAAGGGCCTGAGAGGTAGGACTCTCCTTTCAGCCAGGCAAAAGCCCCACATCACCCAGAAGCCTGTGATCAAAGTCTACCAGCTGGGAGGGTTCTCCTGACCTATCTCTGGAAGCCCTGCCCTAGAAAAGAGAAAGGGTTGTAGGACATGAAGCATCTCATGATGCCTGACCTGCAAGGGCAGGGATGCTCACTGTAGCCCTGCTGGCCCAAACACTAAACAGGGACTTAGCCAGGATCCACGTATACCACAAAGAGCCATTCCGCCCTTAAGGTGGACCTGGTGACAAAGAGGAACTGGCTGAGTAGGGAGCCCCACCTCTGCGCAAAATCTACTGGAGGGGGTATGGTGGCTGGGCTGAAGCCTTACCTTGTGGGCCATATCCTTGTTGCCACGTGGGTGGGGGCTGGCCTGCCCAGCCATTGGCAGCACTGGGCACGACTCGGCTCCCCCACTGGCTGGCCCCTGGCTGGCCGGGTGCTTGGCTTTTGCTGTCACGAGGCTCAGCCCTTTTAACCTCCACCTAGACAAACCAAGGTCTGGTTCAGGAGGATGCGCGGATCCCAGGCCCCTTCCCTTCAGATACACCCTCAGGTAACTTACGACTACACTTAGCATCTTATTACAACTTAAAACTAAATACTTAACTATAAAACTTTATTTAGGCCAGTAGCTTTCTTCTTTAAAAAGTTTTTTTCTGTTTTAATCATTATATTTAAAAAAAATGTTTCTCAGGTACAACAAATGTGACTGTGACATGCTAAGTAAGCCCTATGTGCTGCAGAGCAGGGGCCCTTGAGCATTTTATGCGTGACAAGGGTCTCCCAGTCAAGTTAAAATGGTAGCACCCAACTTCAATAGCCTCATCAACCCAGGACAGAGACCAGGACCATTCCAATAACAGCAGCCCTGTCACAGACCTCCCTGGGAGTGGCAGGAGCCAGCCCCGTGGCTGCACCCCGATGGTAGGGGACCTCTCCGGAGCCCACCCACCCTGCCTGCGCCTTCAGCTCATACCTGAGAAACACAGTTGGTTTACTTAGGTTTTTAATTTAAAATGTCTAAAGGAAGATAAAGACTTACCTTCCCCAGGCTAACGCTTAAAGAATCTCAATTAACTCAAAATAATGTCAGAGGGAATGGATGTGATAAAGAGCCTTACGTTACATCTAACAAAAAGTAAACAAACATGCAATAAAATAGACATTTGGATCAGTAAGCAATCTTCATACTGTGTTGGGTCAGCAGCCCAGGACCCTTCCTCTCTGGACGTGTCAGGAGCCACAGCCAGGGGAGGGACTGGCACAACAGGAGGTGGTGCTTGCCCCACTTACACTGTTGTTGCCCCCATGACAAAAAGATGCCCCAATTCCAAGGTTGTCCCAGCCTCTGAGAATCCTGGACTTTCTTGTTTTTATGATAAATTTTAATAAGAGACACGGTGAATCCATACACTCACCCTTGGGGTCTCAGCCTGGTGAGCTAATTCACCATCAAGTGTCAGAATTCCGTCAGTGCTGCCTGACCAAAGAGGCACAAAACCCCCCCTTCCTGATGCCCCATGGCTGCTCCGTGGATGGGAACAGAGTGCCCCTTAGCTGAAGGCAACAGGACAGCAGGATCAAGGGAGTTCTGAAGAGCTCGAATTAATGAGTCTTAACACACTCTCAAGGGAATTTGGCTCCTGCTTACAAAGCAAAGCAGCGCTTGTAATTAAAACTTCCTTTACTCTTCCTATGGGAGCTCAGGTGTAGTCACTCTGCTCCAGTTTTAATTACAAGCGGGCCCCATGCCTGTCATGATGGGAAATCCCCACTGAAGAAATGGCAGGGATCAATAAAGGTCTTGTGACAGCAGCCAGCCTCCCATGAGCATGAGAAGGCCCCTCAGCATCAGCTCTGAGCGGGCCAGACTCAGACACCCTCTACCTCACAGAGCCGGGATCAGCAACCAGAGTGGGGGCAGGAGAACCACACTCCTTCCAAGTTTTAAATGTTACAGGTCCTTCAACTACTGAGAGGGAGGCTCCTTTGACCTCGTGTTCTTAACTGGTATGCTTCCTTGAAGTCCTCATGCTGATTTTAAACTGGGAGCTTCAGTGAATGTTAGAATAAGGTGTGTGTCTCCCACTTAGCTGGGTTCAAGTGGTATTAAGTGTTCATGGAAACCTGAGCCTCTGGCAAGTATGAACTCCTGTCCTGTTGATAAACATAAGAGAGCAGGCTAGGGCCTGCTGCCTGAGCAGGCCCCGGTGCCATGCTCCCTCCCGTGCCTCAATCAGAAGGGCTGGGCATGCTGAACCAAACGAGGAGCAACTGGGAACACAAACCAACAGGGACTGCCACCGGGGTGCACCGAGCAGGCTTTACGAGGACCCAAACAGGGACCCTGCCAAGACGTGGACCCCAAAGACTTTTCTAACTGTAAGAAATCCCACACAGCAGAATTTCTACCAGTTACTCATTTTACCTTTAACTTCTCCAAAAGCTCTACGGGCCCGGGCAAACGAGGAGTTAAGGGCCACTTTCTGAAAGTTACCTCCGTGGTGGCAACACAGTATGAAGATAAAACAACCAGAGGTCACTTGACTGCATGGAGTTAAGTACTATCGAGAGCATGTGGTTGGTACTGGAATTTCACAGTAAGTGACCCAATTAAAACAACCAATCCTTCAGGATGTTTACATTTCTTTCAGTTTTATAAGAAACCTATTCTCAAAGGTTGGCTGCCCATCGCAGGTTGGATGGAACAATTGGAATACAGTACAGACATCTGAAGGAGTGGTCACTGGAACCAAGCCTGAGGCAACCTGTGATGTCACTGGACGCCCGCCACACAACCCATCACCGGAGGTCCAGGTCCCACCCAACAGCAGAAGGCCCCAGTACCTCTTGCCCAGATCTTTTCTGTGAAGGAATTTCCGTTTCCAGTGACATCCCTCAGTTGCCTGAGACTTGGTTTGGTCTTAAGGTAAAATAAAACTACAACTACACACTTTTTTGCCCATGATGTCGTGAAAATGCATGTTGACAGCCTGGTCCACTGATTGTTCGTCCTCGAAAGTAATAAATCCAAAACCTAGCCAACGACGAAGAGTGAATCAAGGTAGCAGGGTGTTGTGACACAAAACAGGATGATGAACAGTATTAGGGACGGGCCGAAGGATCAACCCAGGGCTTCAGCAAAGCAAGTGAGGGAGGGGGTTGTGGGCCTACCCGGCCAGTGACTGAGGTGGGGGACCGCCAGACGCCTGGGCCCAGCTTGAGCTGGGGTTCCGCTTGGACACTTTGGAACAGCCGGGGCATCTCTTAGGGAGTAGCAGCCCGGACAGCCCAACAGCGAGGGCCATGAAACATGGCAGGGTGTGCCGTGTTGGTGCTAGAATATTCTGTGGAAGACAAGTGCAGGCAGGGAGTAGTCCAGTGCCCTGCCTCGGTCGAGGGTGCTGTGGGCGCACTGTTGCTCCACTGAAACCCAGGGTTCTCCCCCTCGGCTTGCAATTTGCTTTGTAGCTAGTGCTGACAGCAGCCATATATTGTCTTAGGCGTTAACAGTATGGTCTCTACCACAGTTAGTGCCTCACTAGGCTTATCCAACACCGTTGGGTAAGCCCAAGGAGTCCTGTCAAAGTCACATACATATGTATACAGTATCTATCTGCACATATCTACATAACAAAATACACAAAGATACAGGCCACAGCGGGTTCCAGCAGGTCAACTCTGCTGTCAGCAGCAAGAGCAAGAGGCACCATGTCATCAAAGAGAATTTCAAAGAGAAAGTAATTTAGCATTTTCCAAACACAAGGAAGTGGCAGTATAAACGAAGTTTGGTTGGTCTGGGTGAGCGCGACCACCCGGCTAACGTGGCGTGTCTGGTCCTCAGTCTATGCCCTTGCTTCCAGGGCCCATCGGCTCTGAGCACAAAAGGACACCTGGCAGACAGCTGCCAGGAGACCCTGAAGAACAAAAGATGGGTGAGGGGAAGGACCAGCAGCAAGAAGGGGCTGAAGATAAGCACTGTGGGGGTGGGGAGGACAGTGTTCTGTCGCAGAGTCACAGAGCCAGGGGCAGGCCTGTGCTGCGTGGGTAGCGCGGCCATCCTTGAGACCACCTGGCAAGATCACAGGAAAACCATGATGGACGAAGAAACACAGAAGGCAGCTCACAAAGCTGGGTGACAAGACTAGCAGGGAGGGACAGCTGGGATGCAGGAGCCCTCTTTGGTAGTGTTCCCTCCCCACATGCACGCACACAAGAATCTACATATGGTTTTGAGAAAAGAAATAGAACCATGACAGCAAAACAGGAGAGGAGACAAAGCTGGGGTGGATGGGGATAAGGAGAAAAGAATGAGGTGAGCAAAGGCAGAAACGGAGCTGAGTGGGCCAGAGGTCAGGGCTGACAATCCAGCAGATACACAAGGAACCTCCAGGAGAGGGACACTGTCTTAAACAGACTGGAGGAGTATGAGATGATGCAAAGACTTAGCGAAAGCTTTTGGAAGGTAAGGTAGTAAGGAGCTGTTTCTGGGACACCTGGCTGACCAACTGCTGCTCTGGGTGGCGCTCCTGCCCTGTGCTTGCCTAGTGCTCATGGGGAATCATGGAGACTCTCAGGGACCTACAGAGCCAGATGGCTGAGGACGATGTGCGCCACAGGGAAATGTGGGCCCAAGGGTCAAGCCCAAAATGCTCTCCCCACCAGTCTGTCCTGCCTGCACCCCCAATACCAGGCCCAGGGTGAAAACCACAGGTGGCCTGGGAGTGGGGGGGCAGGGGCCCAACCTGGAAAATCTAAGAGCAGCCCTCAGGATCCCCACATCTTGAGGCTTCACAAGATCGGAGGCAATAGTGAAATACAGCATAGGTGATGAACACACATATTACAAGGTCACATTTTCTCAGAGTGCAGGAGTATCTGAAACCACAGGGCTCGCGAGGTCCATTAGGGCACAAGAGGCGGTGACTCGTGGGTAAGGAGCCTGGGGCGGGACGTCTAGGGATGCGTCTGTGTCAAGAGGCGACATCACCACTGAGGAAGCGGCACAGAAACACACTGAAACTTCGTTTACACCCCACTGGAGCAAAGCCCGCTCCCTCCTCTGACTGCAGGATGGCCTGTACCTGTGTGATATAATTTAACACCTGGAGAAGAGAAATCTAAAGAGAGATCGTTAATCACAAAAATTCACAGAGAGAAAGGAAAACAACTTACTTAACATTACTATATTTATTATGAAACACTTAATATGTCACTAAGCATGTACGTCTACATTAATATTAAGACTATGACTTAACAGCTTAATCGACATGAAGGGAGGAGACATTACTTAATCATGGAGTAAGAGGATGGAAGTTCAAATGGCAAACTATTCTCCAGCATGGCGGGCGCATGCTGCGGGCGGCAGCCCAGCGCTCTAGGGGTCTCCGCAGGGCAAGGGCTGCAAGGCCCGGACCAGCAGATCAGCTCCCGGCCGGGCCCAAAGCGGCTGATGAACCAAAACAGATGGGCAGGAACAAACAGCAGCAGTCACAAAACAAAACAAAAATAAAACAAACCCCCTCCAAACCCAAAAGGGCATGGAGGTTGGGTGCCGGCTGGCCCAGGCCAGACGTGCAAGGGAGGGCTGCTCAGGGAACCCAGGTAGGGACGTGCCCCTCCTCCCACCAGCCCCACTGACTGAGGAGAAAAACAAGAAAAAAGCATGAGATGGATAAAGGAAACTCCACGTTCAAGCTGAGCTGCAGCAGATCTGGCCTGACGACATGAAATGAGACTTCTGCCTACACTGGTGTGAGCTGAACGCAGGAGGTGGACTATACTGGTGTGAGCTGAAGGCAGGAGACAGTTGTAACTAAAGAGTTCACAATGGAGAAGGACACAAGTCTTTCAGTGCACACTGAAGAACAGACACCATGTTCAAATTCATGTCAAGTTGTAAAAAACTTTAAAAGAATGAGCCAAAAAAAAAAAAAAAAGACAGTAATGTCTGACCTTGGGAAGCACAGACAAGCTGGGGGCTGCACAGGAAGAGTCTTTGTTTTAATCATTTGTCTCCAAATCACCCTTTTCTCACTACAACCACCACCTAATTGTGAGATAGTTTGCCATCTGAGGGGAAAGGTCAAGAAGAACAAGCTCCATCTCTTTTACCTCGAGGCCTCTGCTTTTCTGCATCGTAGATCATGACCACTTCTGTGACCTGCAAAAGAAAACAGCCATTTGAGGATCTGGGTGCCACAGCTTGCATGAGCATCTCTGGCTATGACAGAAGTCTCAAGCCAAATGCCTGCTGGGAAGTCTCTAGTCTGGGGTAGGTCCTGAGGCAAAAAGCTGGCCTTCCAGGGTATGCTGTCCAATACATGGGACGAGGAGCGCAGGCCACCATTCCACAGGGGAGATGATAGGAGAACCATGGGGTAACCCTCCCATTCACTATGCCAGGATGGAATGACCCAGAGCACTGGTGGGTCAGTGCTCCCACTGTCCTGCTGACTTGGCCCTCACTGCCCATCACCCACCGCCCCATTCACCGAGTGAGGACCTTATCGTGTACTCTGGCACTCCTAAACCCGGGTCCCAACCACTAAACAATCAGGTGCCACCTGACAAACATGACACAGACAGAGCAGGCAGGGCCACACTGTTAACAGGGCATTTGAGCAACAGAAGCCTGAGAAGGCCTATGCGACAACTCCACCAAGGCTGGCACCCTATCCCTGTCTTTTCCTCTGCTAGCCCCATGACAACTGAGTTCCCTGTATGGCCCTGATTAACTCCAACCCCCCCAGGAGATTCTAAAGGATTTTATCCTCTTGTAGAAAACAGGACCACCCTCAGGAGGTCTATGTCACAGAGGAAACACTGAGCAGGACACAGGGCCAAACATCTCTTATGAAGCCTGGCAGCCTAAATAGCAATGAAGAGCTTCCAGAGGGAGCAATGGGCTTGGGCCAAGCCCCCCCCCCCCCCTACAGTGAGGTCCTGCTACTTGTACAAGGACCTCGGAATAGTCTCTGCTCTAAAAGTCCCCTATCACGCCAGGCCCCATCCTCAGCTGCAGCTACCAGGGGAGGGTACCTTGCCTGGGGTCCTGGGCAGGAAGAGGTAACCCAAAGTCCCAGGTGAACCTGATCTGGAACACCCCCTACTGCTATTGAAAGATAGCAGGCTGGCTTCTCAGCAACACTCCCTAATGCCTCACAATCAACCAGAAGGCCTCCTGGGTACCAGCCTGTAGAGTTTTACATCTGCCTGAAAGTCATGACTACTCTCAGGATGGGAAATGGCCATGAAGGGAAAGGATGGGGTTCTGGTTATTCTGTTCTGGGGGGATGTGAGGCAAGAGGACAGTGCTGCCAGGCTGAGCTTCCCCAGGACATAGGGCTCCACCATGCCTGTCTCAACTAGGCTGAGTTGAGCAGTTGCTGCCTGGGTGCTGGCGGTGAGGGAAGAACTCACCACTCCAAATTTCTTGAAGTATTCCCTGAGCTCTGTCTCACCACAATTGTGAGGAATTCCACCGACAAATATCTTATTTGATTTACTGTTATCGCTCCTGGATCCTTTCTGCTGTGTCAAGAAGGAAAAGATGGGTTAGTCCATGTGTGGATCCCTCAGCATGCTCCCCAGGATTTTGAGTGACTGCATAGGTTTCAGAGACATTAAGCTACAGAACACTCTGAAAGTTCAGTGAATTCAAAGAGAACCAAGAACAGAATTTTCCCAGACACCCAAGGAGACAAGATCCAGCACTGTGGCACCACTGTTTTTCAAGTGCTTTTAAAAACAGACTACAGCCCTGGCTGGTGTAGCTCAGTGGATTGAGCACGGGCCTGTAAAGCAAAGGGTCGCTGGTTCGATTCCCAGTCAGAGTACATGCCTGGGTTGCAGGACAGGTCCCCAGTGGAGGACACATGAGAAACAACCACACGCTGATGTTTCTCTCCCACTTTCTCCTTCCCGTCCCTTCTAAAAATAAATAAATAAAAAATATATAAAAACTCAGTACTATGTTCAATTATTCTGAACCATGACAGCTACATAACCTAAAGCTCTACACTGTGAAACTAAGCATTTCAGGAGCACAAGGAAGACACAAGGGGGACTCCATGATTAAAACTACTGATGAGTCTGTTTTTTTCAAGCTGGTGACCGACAATGATGATGGAAAGTTCTAATAACTAAAGAGAGTCACTCCATCATTTGTCTTTCACTACCCCTGACTCTGATCCTACTATCTGTGGAATGACCTTGCACCTACCTTGGAGGAAAATGCTTGAGCCCAGCTTGTCACTGGGGGGGACGGGGGGCGCACGTGAAGGAAACAGGCCCACCTGAACTCCCTGGGTAGACCCCAAACTCAACTCCTGGCTCTACAATGCTGCCCCTCCCACACCCTCTACTCCTATTCCCCTTCTTCTTTCTACCCAAGGAGCTCAAGATTAAGTTATCTCAACTGCCTTTAAAAAAAAAAAAAAGACTTTATTTAATCCTCATGGGAGGACATTTTTTCATTGCTTTTAGAGAGGAGAGGGAGGGAAAGGGGGAGAGAAACACCTATATGAGAGAAAAACATCGACTGGTTACCTTCTGTACACACCATGACTTGGGATCAAACTCTCAACCTAGGTATGTGCCCTGACCAAGAATCAAACCTACAACCTATTGGTGTATGGGATGACACTCCAACTGAGCCACACCAGCCAGGCTGTCCCAACTGCTACTGATTAGCAATTCTGAGGGTGGGCAAGGTTTCCTCTAGTGTGCAGGTTATGGCCCAAGCGTATTCTATCTTAATAAAGCTGCCAAACGACTAAAGGATGTTAATAACCAAATGGAATCTGAACTCTGCTTGGAGTTCAGTCTGAAAAGTTGTGAAGGTTGCCTGTGAGATGATCCCAGGAATGTGAGTATGGTGGTGTGGACAGGGGTGACACTGACTGTCACCACGGGCATTTTAGCTGTGGGGGGATGGGGGTTCTGTGAGAGGTCCATGCTTTTAGGAGATGTACACTCCAGAGGTTAGGAATGGTCTATGCAGACAGAGATAGATATTAATACAGATAACTTTGCAAATAGTAACAATTAATGAATCTAGTTTTCTGTAACTTGAAAACTTCCCTAATAGAAAGCTGGAAAAATAAAAATGATTTCAGGAGTCTGAGGCCCCTGTCTACCAGCGGCAGCTGGGATCCTGCTAGAAATACAGGTCTCAAGTCTCCACCTAGACCTGTGATTAGTCAGTCACATGTGGAGGGGCCTACTATAGCTTCTTAACAGCCTCTAGCCCAGCTCCGTTCAGTAGGGCTTTCTGCAAGGATGGGAGCGTTCTGGATGACAGTCTTCTCTGAAAATGACGGGGTGGTAGAAGGGGAGGTGTGGGCAGGGAGCAACAAGAGGACAGGTCTGCTCCAACTGACCCAGCACCCAGGGCCACACACAGCTCACAGGGAAACCCCCAGGAGTCATCATACTGGCTGTTCCAGCGACCAGTGACCAGGTTCGTGTCTGGAGGAGAGCCACAGAGCTGGGTGGTAGAAGCCTTAGAGTCAAGGATGACCAAGCCACCAAGCAGAGAGGCGTGAGGGACTGAATGGAGAAGATGCTCTTGGTCCTCTTGGGCAGTCTGGGAGCACTTGGGACAGATAAAACCTAAGGTTCTACCAGGGGCATCCAACCTGCCACCCATGGGCCGCATGCATCCCAGGATGGCTATGAATACAGCCCAAAACAAAAATCATACATTTACTTAAAACATTGAGATTTTTTGTGATTACATGCTGTGACATATTTAATGTGCGACCCAAGATAACTCTTCTTCCAGTGTGGTTCAGACACACCAAAAGGTTGGACACTCCTGGTCTAGATGGTAAATGGGTGTGAGCTGTCATTTTTTTTTTAAGTTAGACTAATACAATTTTTCCTCTTGGCTACAAGATAAAAATTTTTACAGCACTGAGTAAAGCTGAGCAATTCTCAGCTGGTCAAGTGTCAAAGGAGAAGACCTTCTGTTACTCCTAATCTTAACATGCACAATCACCAGAACAAAGGCACGTGTTTGTCTAAATACTATGCAGTACAACTGAAAATAATACTGAGTAATACTGAATGTAAACTGTAATTGAAAAACAACAACAAAGGCACACGTATCCTTTAAATTGGCTGCTGAACATACAAGGTCGCCCACCCAGTCCCTTACCCAGCCTTCTTTTGGCCGCGTCCTCTCTGGCTGCATCCCCCGAGGTGTGCATGGCTTTGGGTCAATCTGTAGAAAGTTTCAAACAAGCCAGTGGTGAATGTGAAGCTCTTTTCTTCTAGAAAAGAAGGCATCAACAACAGCAGGCAGCAGCACAACACATGAGCACTCTCCCTAATCAATTCATACCCTGTCCCTATCCATTTCCTACTCCGACCTCCAGACCAAACACAGAGACATCATGCTTTTAGATCACCGCCACAGGAAATAGTCTTAACACAAAAACATCCACAAAAGCTCAGACCTAGAGAGCTGAAGGTCAAATGACAGAAAGTGGCAGGGAGCTCGGGACAGCTGGACACTTACATTTCGCCCATCCAGTGTGTGTGGTCTGCTGGCCAGCACTGTGCCCACACAGTTGGGGTCTTTAAACTTGACAAACCCGAAGCCTCGAGACTGGTTGGTTGTCTTATCTTTCATGATCACACAGTCCACAACCTCTCCATACTGGGAGAAGTAGCTGCGGAGAGTCTCTGCTCAGAGATTGGGACAGAAACACACACACCAGAGTGTTAAGCACAGCGTCACAGCACGAAAACACACGCGCAGGTGCATCACTCTCCGGGTTCATCAGTCTGACCTGGAAACTGTGCAACTAGTCTCTTTTAAACAAACTCATCTAATTTGGGAGGCAGGGGAAGAGGGTAAAGGGCAGGAGACACATGAGAAAGAATGGGGGACTCCACACGATGGGTACAACACGTCTCCATATAAACTAGAAAGGCTGCAACTAAGCATGGCTGTGGTGAAGGCGTACAAGAAAGATTAAGAAAATGCAGAACCACCACTTTGAAGGCCACTTGACAACAAGCTTCTTTCTGCTATGTCTGAACTCACTGACAGCTGGGCAAAGCCCTGGCCATCGCATTTTTCATGTTAATCGTCCTGCCTCCAGCACCTACCTTGGTCTTGAGCTAGGAATCTACAGTCTAATTTATTGCCTAATTCTGCTGTGAAACATCAGGACAAATTTAACCATTTCAAAGCCAATACTGAGTTCCCTCTGGCCCCCACCAATGCCCAATCAAATGCCCTTGTATCCCCAAAATCAAGACAATAAATCAATCAAGAATTAAAGAAGCCCAAGGTAATAGCAAGAGATGAATTCACACAACTTGAAAACCAAGGTCAGTCCACCTGCAGCGCCTGGCACCCAGCCACAGCACCTACCTTGGGTGGTGCTCCAGTCAAGACCGCCCACGAAGAGCTTCCTGCAATTCAACAAGAAAACATTTAGGGTCAAATGGTTCTTGCATTAAAGACACCACCCATCTGACCCCTTCCAAGGCAGTAATCCACACCAAAGGAGTTCACGCAAACATGCTGACACTGTCAGTCATAGCAATGGCACAGGATAGCCTTGGCTATCACCTGGCCTCATTGGCTGCAGACACAAAAAATAATTCTGAGACCTGCCAACATGGCATGTTGAGTGTTATAACGTAGTGAATTGTACATGCACACAGACTACAACCATAGCAAGTCCCTACCCTACCACTCTTGCAATACTGTTCATTTGCAATCAAGATCTGAGAACACAGGTGACAAACCAGAATGACAGCAAGGTTAGGGACTGTAGGGCAAAGCCTCGGGTACCCACCATACGGTCCTGAGCTAGGACCCACAAATCACTGGAAAGGTCCCCAGAGCTCCAGACCCAGCACTGGATGCCCAGCCCACATTGCCCACCCCAGGGTGGCCTGGGCTGTACTTTTGAGCAGACACACTAGATGATTCAGGAGGAAACCTGTGTCATCCCTGCAGCCTACCTGCCTTGTGTCTGCCTTCAGTGGGTCCAGAACCCAGAGTCCCCCTACTGGCCCCAGGGGAGGACTCTACACAATGAAGAGGCATGGCAGCCCCTGCCTTTCCCACCTCTCATGCCACCCTCAAACTGGCTGGACCTGGAGTGAACCAAGTTGCTACAGCTGTTCTAGCTTCCACAGGGTACAATGCTCACCAGCCTCACCCTCGGCCCTGGAAGAAGGTCTGACAGAGAAGGTAGACGGAGGGGGTTCAAGCAGCAGTGGTGGCAGTTCTCCATCCCATTTGTTTCACCCAGGAAAAGGGGACACTACTACTGTCACCCTCAGAGCTGGACTGAGGCACCAGTTGGTGGGTCTTCAGATGCTGGCAGGTGGCCCAGGCTCAGTACCCCCCCTGAGACACAAGGACCCTGCAAAGCTTATCACTGTCCTACCTCCTGAGCAATCAAGAGAACCACCAGACAGAGAGCCTTGCTCTCTGCCCAAGGGCAGAAACATCAAGGGAACAGGCACAACTGTCACCTCTGCTCCATCTGGTGACTCAAGCCTTGGTATACCAACCACTGGCAAAATGCCTGTGACAGCAGGACTGTCATCAGGCTTATTCCAATCTGCCTCTTCTCTAAGGAAGGGCAATCTAAACTTACTGTGTGAGAAATAATTTCCCACCACTTCCAACCTCAAAATGCCAACACCAACACACAGGCCACCTCCTGTCCCTGGTTGGAGAGGACTGTAAGGGGACTCAGGACAAGTGTTGAGCCATGGCTATTCTTCCAGTGCCCTAGAAGGGAACTAGGTAAGAAGAGGTTTCAGGGAACATGCTGACCAAGCAGCAGCAAGACTCACATTTAGGCCTAGTTAACTTAAAACTGAGTTGCAGGCCTCCTGCTTTCCAACAATTGCAGGGGGGGGTGGGGCAGGGGACAAGGAAGCCTCTTCTGTCTGTGTCCCACTCTCCAAGGACTGTCCAGGCAATGCCCAGAGCAAGCTGTGACTCAGGCCCAGCCACACCCAGTGCGCCCAACCCCCTGAAGCCTCACATCCAATAGGGGCACAGGGACTCTAATGACAAGGGTCAGAGGCTGGCTAGCACTGCTGAGGAACTGCCCATTTGCCCAGTCGTCTAGAACAGGAACAACCAAGGGTTTGGTGTGGAAGAGCTTCTTTGTGCAGGAAAAGATATCTTAAGCATTCTCAAAAACAAAATTAAAACAAACCTCAATTCCCTTAGAGAATACCAGCCTCTGTTTAGCACTGTGTTCACTAAACAGTAAAGTAATAAAGCTGCTGCCCATCCGAGCACATCAACCTGCACCGCCTACCCACAGAGGAAGAACCCGCTGGACCAGTCCAGGCTCCAGCCTTCTCTTACTTAAATTTCAAAATTAGGCATTAAAGGGAAAAAACTAGAAACACCATCACCTGCACAATGGACAGAACTGGCATCTGCCCCGTGGATGGATAATAACATGGCATCGATACTATGCATTCCAATTTTATCACTGCACTGTGTGCATTCAAGAGAATGCTTCCCTTTTTGAAAATGCAACACACGGGCCCTGGCTGGTGTAGCTCAGTGGATTTAGCGAGGGCCTGGAACCAGACAATCACGGTTTGATTCCCAGTCAGGGCACATGCCTGGGTTGCGGGCTGGTTCCCTGCAGGCCAGTTCCCAGCAGGGGATGCACGAAAGGCAACCGTACATTGATGTTTCTCTCCCTCTCTCCGTCCCTTCCCCTCTAAAGATAAATAAATAAAATCTTAAAAAAAAAAGAAAAAAAAGAAAGAAAATGGAACACACGAACAGGTCCACACAGAGCAGCAGGAGGGCACCACTTCTGCTCAAAAACTTCACTGAAGACCCAGCACAGTTTAGAAGTATTACCTAGTTTACAATGATCTCTTCAGCTGTACCTGATTTTCAACTTAGTGTCTATGTAATTCTATTTTCACTTATTTTTATTTCTAGAGTTCCACTTGGTATTACTTCAAACAAAACATTGATAGTCTCTTATTTATTCATATTTTCCATATCTTATTTTTCCCATAAAGTATTTTAAAAATATATTTTCTATTTAGTCTCTGGTATTTCCAGTACTTGCTGTCTCTGCAAGTATTATTCTGCAAATTGGCTTCTCCGCCGATTTTTGCTCGTGGCAGCATTCTTCTTGTGCTTTGTGTATTTGAATTGTACCCGCATGTTCTTCAACCATGCATTTAAATGCTTCTCTAAAATAATGTTGTGTCCTGCATTTTATATCAGCAGGATTCATCTAAATATCTAGTCTTTCATTTTTTTTTCAATTTATTTATTGATTTCAGAGAAAAGGGAGAGAGAGAAAGAAACATCAACTGATTGCCTCCCGTACACACCCCAACCGGGGATCCAACCCCAGGCTATGTGTGTGCTGCATGTGCCCTGACCAGGAACCCAACAGGCCACCTTCTGGTTCACAGAATGATGCTCTAACCGAGTCACGGGGCCAAGGCTAAATAGCTAGTCTCAAATATTGCCAGAAACAGAAGACCAATTATCCTTTTATATAAGCTTTCTTATGTTCTTGTTTTCAGTATGTCTCTTGTTAAACAGTAATTATTTGCATTTTATTTACTAGATTTGAGCTAAAAACAACAACAATAACAAAACAGGCCCATGGATGAATGAATGGGGCAGAATATTAGCCCCCGGGGAATCTGGCTGGATAAAGAATATGGCAGCCCTGGCTGGCGTGGCTCAGTCGATTGAGTGCCAGCCTGCAAACCAAAGGGTCATCAGTTCGATTCCCAGTCAGGGCACATGGCTGGGTTGCAAGCCGGGTCCCCAGTTGGGGGGGTGTGCAAGAGGCTTTCTCTCTTGCACGTGGATGTTTCTCTCACTTTCTCCCATCTTCTTCTCCCTCTCTTCTTTAAAAATAAATAAATAAAATCTCAAAAAATACATTGGGGACTTTTGTTACTAATCTGTAACTGTCCTGTAAATCTGAAGTTATATGAAATTATAAATAAGGAAATTCTCATCATTGAGGAAATACTAGAATTTAGGTTTCTTCTGAAACAACAGCACTGACACATAGGATATCCGAGACACTTGGTAAGAGGTGCCTCTTGTATGACCATCACTTTATGCAGCGGGAAGAACACGCCAGCCTTTGTGCTGGGCGGCAGCATGCTGGGCACTTTTATGTGTTTCCACTTCCTTTGCTCCTGCTCTGAAGGCACACTCTCCCAGTCTGCACACAGAAGGTTCCAGAAGGTCCTGGGAGGCCAGCTAATTCATGGTAGCAGGGACCTATCCACAGCCCAGCACAAAGCCCTAACCTCTAAGCCTTACGTTTTTGTAATTGATACAGTCAAAATGGCCCTGGGTGCCAACCTCACCAGGGTGAGTGAGAAACAGGTCCTCCGACAGCCCAGAGACTAAGGCCCCCACAGGACAAGCCCAGACACAGTTCTTCACTGCCCTGGCAGCAAGACACACACGGACATGCAGTCCTGGCACCAGCGGGAGGCTTGTTCACCCTGCTAGCCGTCCAGGAACAGCCCAGACAGACTCACTTGGCACCATGGAACCTCAGGAGTCTATGAGCATGTACACATGAGACTCTGCAGATTAAGGGATTGACTAACTGTGCCAGCTTCCCTTCTCCAGCCCTTCCCTGAAGGGTAACATTACTCAGGTGCAACTGGATGTCAGGGCCACACAGACCCTGCACTTCCCAAACCCATGCACGGAATTCCTGGCTCTATCAGGTCCTCCCAAGAAAACAAAGGTCAGGAAACAGGCAATGCCACCACCTGGGGGATCTGAGAGAGGCCATCTTGCTCCCAGGGCCTGTACCTCAAGAGGGGTTGGTGACCTCCTCCTGACAGGGGTTCTGTACAAGTGACCAAGCACCAGGCTCCAGTTAGCATTCCTCTGGAATGTTCTGCCTGCTGAAACCAAATCTGTTTCTGGATGACTACCCCACTCTTGTTCTGTGGACTTCAGAGCAACCATGTAGTATCTGCACCAGAAAGTCAGTCTTTAGTGGCTTCCCCTGGCTGAGGCTGACCACTCTGGGCTCTACCGTGGATGCACCGTGGCAGGTTCTGGAAAGTTCCATCCTGCCTGGCAAGAATGCCACCCAAGGCAGCAAGGGGCAGGGGCAGAGGGCCCAGACCAGTCAGTTGTTGAGCAAATGACCCTTTCTTCTCAAAGAACGTCCTACCCAGTGCTTATGTTTGCACCTTCCTGGTTTCCAGTGGGGACACACTGGGACCTGATCTCCCTCAGTCTGTCTGTCCTCATTTCCCTGTAGAAAGGAGGTGGTCCTAGGAGGGCACACAAAGCCCTTGTCCATGGGCCTCACCCCAAATCCCCCCACACCGGCTCCTGCCTTCAACACTCAGGCTTCCCTCCTGCTGGCAGGGAAGAACATCCCCTCCTAGACAACTGTGGGGGCTGTGTGACATGGAAGAAAACCCCAGGACTGTGTGCTGAGTGATGGCAGGAGTCCCTCCACTCACTGCCCTGTTCCATACAGGAAAAATGTCCACCCCAAATCAAGCCCTCTCTGAAGCAAACCAATGACCCCTCCCACATCATTGGGCAATCAGCAAAAACAGGCATTTACAAGTACAGATTACAGTCCACTGCTGCTCCTGATCCCACCTTCCCAAGCCCCCCAGAGTTCAACTTAGGGGTGTCTACTTCCAGAGTCTCTCCAACAAACTATTCCAGAAAGACCTGGGAGGACTCAAGTGCTCCACCTTGGGACCACTCCACATGCCATCACTCAGCCAGTGCCAGGGCTGCAGCCTGCTGAGGTCACCTACTTGCAGCCTCTCTGACTGAGCAGCTGTGGATTCACCCCACATTCCCATCTTTCCTTGAAATGATCCAAGTGCAGCTTCACTTCCCTTCAAGTCTTTCCATTCCTGCAACTCTGCCATAAATGACATGCAGGTGTCCCTTGTCTTACCAGTCCCTGGTTGCGCAAATAGGACCACGTGTGCCAGACAAAATCTTCCTCACTTTTCTCCAGTTCCTGACACAGTTTGGCTGTCCCAGAGGTGGGTGGTACAAAGCACCTCTGGGTGGCTGTCTATCTGTAAAGGGAGAGAGCCCTCCCCCCAGCACCCAGGAGCACCAACACAGTGGCAGGAGCCCTCAGAAATACACCCACAGACTCTAACTGACAATCTGAATCAAGGGTCCTTTCTTTAAGTTGATTTTCCAAGGTCATGGCAGGGGAAGGAGTGCCTGTCACTGCCAGGCCTTCCTCAGAAGGGAAGGCATCTAGCCTTCCACAAATCAGCTACAAGGGGCCACATGCGACTACAGGTGATTTCCACCACTCCTGTTATCCTTTTGCCCTCAAGACCTAGCCCTTGCTCTGTTCTAGCTGACTGTGAAAATAAGGATGCTAAAAACATTACTAAAGCCAGTGGTCTCACCCAGCTTCCATTCTCCCATCAGAGTTTATGCTGATTTCTAAGCCAACTCAGGTAGTCAAGAACTGGGGAAGTGCTTCCTTCAAAGACAAATTCAGGAGTATAGACCAGGGAAGAATGGTGCCATAGGCATCCACACATTTCCTAAAGCTTCTGCAGTGCACCCACACGTGTGTCTATAAAAGAGGAGAATCACCCCTCCTGTCAAGTGCTCCCTGGGGAGCTACTGGGGCAAAGACCAGACACCAAAGTGAAGGAGGGTTGGAGGTGAGAGTGGCTGCCACCAGATATCACTCAGACCTGCCACCCCCTGATAATGTCTGCCATTGCTTGGATCTGAGCATAACACACCTCCCACATGGTAACCCCGCCAAAGCTGAATCCCTGCTCCTCTTATAGAAAATTGCAAAAGGGCCATCGCCAGGGGGCCTGACTAGCAAAGCTACAGAGCAAGGAGATCAGAATGAACCTGGGACTCCACATCCAACACAAACAAGGTTCCCACATAAAATAGAAACTTCTTTTTGGCAACAGATTTTTACTTGCAAAGCAATAAAAGGTTTTCTGGGACACCTGTGATTTACAAGTTTAAAACTGAGTCCATCCAGGTAGATTTACCAGGATGGGAAGAGAACATCTCCAAGCAGGATCTCTAGGCCCAGTCCTGGTTCTGCTACTCACTGTGCAGCCTTCCCAAGTTGCCCACAGGTCTGGAAGGTCCAGATCTGGGCTCGGATCCTGGCTGGGATCTGTGAGTTGGGACAAGTCAAAGGGTTAAAATGCCAGGTATCCCTTCCTCTTCATGAGCATTCCTGAGGGGCAGGCCTAATGGGCCTCCAGACTCCCTTCCTTCCCTAACCTTAGTCTCTGCTCTCCTGGTGAGAAGGGAAGGCAGCCCAGGCCTAAAGACCCCTGTGCCTGTGGTATGGATATGAGAAGCATGACAACTCTTTCCCTGCCTCCTAGTTTCCTGTTAGAAGTGCTGCAACCTTTGAGTTACCTAACAGAACACAGCCTTCTAGTTCATGAGGGGGGTGGGGGGAGAAAAAAGCAAACCAGCTTGGAGTTAAGTGCTTTCCTCATGGGTCCTCTAAATGGCATGGGTTTTGTGGGAGAGGGTAAGCACACAACATACATTTTAGTCCTAGGTGTATGCAGTGGCTGAGCCGGATGCGGGCCCAGTGATGCCAACCTCCCACCAGCAAACGATTACTGACTCACCAAATCAATTACTTTGTAAAAAACACATCTGTTCAAAGCTAAGGGCCCCAAGAAATGTACAGAAGACCACGGAAAAGCAGCCCGCACTGTTTTGCCATTTTCTTCAGGTAAAAAAAAAAATCTAACTGTAAAATTACGCTGGTGCAGTGGGAGCTGGTCTCTGCATAGAAAACTAGAGCAAACCCCTCCACCAGGACAGAAATGTATTTTCTAGCTCCTTTGGGATAGCTTCTCGGGATCTCGGCTGGTTCAGCGTTAGAGAAGGTTATAATTAAAGGGAAACAGCTGTAACAAACCTGCTCTAATAGCTGCGCCCAGAGAAAGACCTCAGAAGCAAGACGTTTTGCCCACCCGCCGTTTCCCTTTTTCTTTATTTTAAGTACACCCCTGGGGGTTAAGTGGGGGCAGAGTGAGAAGGCGCTCCACCAACGTAAAAACAAGTCACAGAGGCCGCGGGGTGCCCGGACCAGGCCCCCTGACCTTGGCCCGGGGGCTCTGTTTGTGACCCTTCCTTGTTCTCAGCACTTAGGGGGAGGAGGAATACACTGGAAAGGCAGGGATGCCGCCCAGAGTCTGCGGTGGTAAAACTTGGGCGGCTGCAGAACCGGAACCCCCACGTCGGGTCCGCCACGTGCGCTGACCCACCAAGTTTGTGCGCGGGCTGGGGGCGCCTCATAACCCTCCAGTTCCAGATTCCAGTTCCGGTCCACCAGGAGAAACACAGGCACTGGGACTCCCACCCTGTACATTCAGGTTTGGAGTCTCCCAGCGGGAAATCTAGGCACGGGGGCAGAGGGGGCGCCCGGGACCCTTCTGAGTTCCTGTTCAGGCTACCCCAGAGGGAAATCCAGGCGTGAGGGCGCCTCAGACCCTCCACATTCCCGCTCGGGATCCCCAACGATAAACTCGGGCGCGGCGGCGGCGGCCCCTCCGAGACCCCACAGGCTCCCATTCAAGAGTCCCTCAGCGGGAAACTCGGTCGCGGCGGCGGCGGTGGGCCCCTCCCGGCTCCCCTAGGCTCCCGTTCAGGACCCTCCTGGGTCAAGAAGCAGTGAGGACTCTCAGAATCCTCACGTTCCCCCTCGGGATCCCCCTCCCCCGGCTAGGAAGCGGCGGGATCCCGGCTGCGGCCCCGCAGCGTGACCTTGACGGGCCAGGCGGAATCTGGGAGGGGGCCGGCCGAGGCGGCGGCGCAGCTCTGTGCGTCCTCACCCGATCTCGTCGGCGCCCGAGTTGTTCATGGCGGCGGCGGCAGCACTTAGCGTCCCGGGCCCCCTGGCTCGCTCCCGCCTCCGGAAGGTCACTGGCCCCGGCGCCCTCCCCACAACAGCGGCCCGGATCTGCGCAACGGCGACAGCCGCGCTGCCTCCTCCCCTCAGCGCCAACCCAACAGTCACCGCGCGCCCCCGCGCCCGCGCCACCGCCCTGCACACGCTCGGGCGCGCTCCAACACAGGGCGTAAGGGGGCGGGGGCGGGGGCGCCACCTCGTGCGTGCCGGCGTTCGTGCGTGCGTCGGGGTCCGCCCAGCTGGTACTCCACCGCTGCGCGTCTAGCTTCCTCTTCGTGGGCTGCCAGCGCCGCTGCAGTGCACGCTGGGAAATAGAGTCCCTAGCGCAAGCCTCGGCCCCACCCCTGGTGGAGGGCGCGCGGGCTGAGCCGCGTGCGTGCGCGTCCGTGCGTGCGTTCATTGCGGCGCTCCCGGATAGGCACTGCGGGGCGCAGGCGCGCTTACGGCTTTCTTGTTCAGTCTCTAGTGGAAGAAGGTGGGTGTATCCCTTGGGAGAGCTGTGGACCCGGGCCACGCCCGTATCCCACGGGATCCCCGTCGGTATCATGTCCCATTCCTGCTACTTGGCTGTTCCTGCTGTCCCCATCTCACAGAAGAAGTTACCAAAGGTCAGAGAAGCTTGGTCACCTGCCCCAAGTCACTCAGGGGAAGAACTGGAATCAAATCCAACAGTTGTCTGGAAATTCATGGTTATGAAAATATAATGAGCATCTACCACGTGCTTAGTATTGTTTCTGCCCTCAATTGTCCTCACAGGTGGGTCTTATCCCTGGTGATCTTTCCCTTTCACTCCCCAGTCTTATGACTGGCAACCCCATTAAATGTATAGAAGGCTTTAAAATTCTCTTGTGGGTGTCTGCCTGAGACTTCAAACATTCAGCCTGAAACTTTCAGCCCATCACATGAAGAATGAATACGTTTTAGGTGTTAGATGATGTTATGAGTTCAGGTAGGTCAGTACTTTGCGATTTAAAAGCCTTTGCTGCAAATTGGAAAGTCTCTGTAGGACACTGGACAAAAGTTCACTTCATTCAGAAAAGTAGAAGCCTTGGGCGATTCCGCATTCAGTGAACTGCCTACCTGCGCCCAGCAAAGAGAAAAGGAAGAGAAGAGTACATGATGGCTCACGGTAGTGTCATTGTCTATTTTTGGAATTTCCATAATTTAAAAAATGAATTTGATGAAATGTAAGAAACAAGTTTTTCACATCAAATTTGCAAGGGCAAAAAGGATGCCCAGGGTGAATACACCCCTTTACTGGAAGGTGGGTTTTGACCCTAAGCTTGAATAGCCGTAAACATGGGCAGGACTTCCAGCTACTTGTCTGCTTGCAGGAGCAACAACCAAGTACAAGTGAAACTTTGAGCTCCCCTCCATCTTAAGGGGGTGGGGGAGGCCCTGGTGGAAGTGGCAGCTGGTGCTCACTCATGGATGGACAAACTACCACTCTCTGGCCAAAGAGCCCACCATCTGTTTTATTTAAATAAAGTTTTATGGGCACACAGTCACAACCATTCTTATATATGGTGCTTTCACACTACAATGGGCAGACACTGGCCTGCACAGCTGAAATTGACTGGACCTTTAACAGAAACTTTCTGTGTTCAATAAAAATGAGCAGGACCCTCCCTAGGATAGCATCAGTGTCATGCCCTCATCAGGCTTGCTAGGGTGTGTGTCACCTTTTGAACCTCCTTAGGAAGGTTCCAATCTGATCACTTAAAGTCACCTGGGTGGACTCAGGGTAGGGGTGGCCAGTGATCATAGCTTTCTTTCATTTTTTTGCAGTTGGAATTTATATAACAAAAATTATATGATTAGTGGAAGATGCATAGGATTACTGAGGCAAGAAAGATAGAATATAGAACCCAGGCCTCAAGCTCTACCCCTCCCCTTCTCCATCTTGAATGGGGCATGATAGGACCTTCACCCCGCTTGCCCCTCCCCAATTTCCTGTAATTAAGATGACCAAAAAAATAATATCTGGAGAAGAGGGAAAAGAATGGGCAGTGTAGGCAGCCACCTCCCCTCAGTCTCAGAAGCAGAGGACAACCCTATCCGCATGCCCCCATTGCATTGCCTACATTTAATGAAAACCTGCCTATTCCCCATCAGTGCAACTTGTTCTCCAAGGTCTGCTGCTCTCAGGGGCATAGTATTACTTTAGTAAACCTGTGCTTTGCCAGATCTTTCTGTCACATTCTTGAATTCCTTCTTGTTTCCTAATAAGAACCTCAATAAGTTGAGGCCACCCTTGACCTTCCCAGGTATGGGTACTACCCTGCATCAGGTTTTGGTGAGCCAGCCAGGAGGTCTCTTGCTTTCACAGGCTCTCTTGGAGACTTGCAACCAGGGAGTAACAAGTGGCTGCAGTTTGCATCTCCCTCCCTGAAACCGAGAACCAAGTCTTGTTTCTCTCCTCCACTTCCAACTGGGTGTCTCCTTTCTACTCTCTGAAGGACTCTTTCTCATGTCCCCCTGCTAGGCAACCAAGTGCCTCAAACTTGCATCCCAGAGGATGCAAGTTTCCTGCTCACAGTTTCTGGTAAGTTAGTCCACCTGGATTTGCCTTGTGTTGCCTCTGCTTTTCATAAACACATCTTTTGTTGGATTTTTCTCTTTTTTTTCCTGGGGATCAGACCTCCATATTTTCTTTGGAATCCCCATGCACCTTAGTTTTACCTGGGTCAGTTGCAAATTTGAACTCTTAGAAACCATTCTGTGGTCCCATAACTATTGTGGCTTCTTCCCAGCATCTCAGACTTAATAATTGGCCATGACCTTATTAGCCCAAAAAGAGTGGGCTTCTGGGATGGGTGGGGAGCCATGGACCCACGGTAGGAGGAACCACACTGGACCACTCTGGAGATGCCTGGGACAGGTCAGCTGCGATTATGGGTGTAGGGGACACCTGGCCCCCTAAGTTAGGACCTTCTTAGCCTACCTTCAGTGATTGGTGGGTGTATTCTCTGTCCACCCTCTAGTGGGAAGACGTCAGGTTGTCTAGCCCTAACTAGTACTCCCCTTTTCTTTCTCAAGTCATTATGGGATACTCCTATTCTCAAGGACTCACTACTACCCTGCATTCTAGCCAAGTGGAAGGACTTCAAATTCAATAGCTTAAAATAAAATAAGAAAACCTCATTTTCTTCTACATTAGGGCATGGCCCTAATATAAGTTAGGGAATCAGGAAACATGGCCTGATAATGGGACCTTAAATTATATTATTCTTCAATTAGATCTCTTTTGCAACCTCCATAGAAGATAGAAGTCCCTTTTGTACAGCTTTCATGGCCCTATTCCAGGACCCAATAAGAAGAGACTCATGTTGCCCTGGCTGGTGTGTCTCAGTGGATTGAGTGCCGGCCTGTGAACCAAAGGGTCACCAGTTCAATTCATGATAAGGGCACATGCCTGGGTTGTGGGCTGGGTTCCCAATGCAGGATACGCAAGAGGCAACCACACAATGATGTTTCTCTCCCTCTCTTCCTCCCTCCCTCTCCTCTCTCTAAAAGTAAATAAATAAAACCTTTTCTTAAAAAAAGAGGCTCATGTAAATCTGTTATGCCTATTACTCTTTTTCTAGAACTCCCCTTTTTCTAGCGATCATGGATGATCCTCTCCTGTGAATGCCTCCACTACACCCAATGGATAATCCCGAGGAACATGAAGGGCAGGATTGGGCCCTCCACCTCTTAAGATTCCCCTGGGGCACCCCTTCCACCACCTTTCACCCCACTTATAAGCTCTCTTCCTATGCCTCCTCCTTATCAACAGTGTATTTTCCATTACCAATGGAGATTAGAGAACCCAGCCCTGTAGGGCATAGCAGGAATGGAGCTTTTTATCTCCCAGGCCCCATCAAGTTATGTCCTCTCAGAGAAGTTACAAATGGAGATTCAGGAACCATTAGTTAACATCTCTTTTAGCATGAAAGACTTCCCCCAATACAAAGTAAAAATGAGCAGGTCTCAGAAGATCTCAGTTGGGTCTGTAGATAAATTTCAAGCTTTGATAGTATCTTTTGACCCGACTTGGGAAGACATTCATATTGTCCTGTCCACCTGCTGTGCTCCTGAGAAAAAACACAAGGTCTAGTTAGTAGCTCATGGACATGCCGATGAAATGGCAGCCCAAAAGCCCAACCAGAATGACACCCAATGAAGGGTGAGTGCAGTCCCAACCCAAGATCCAGCCTGGGACAGGCAGATCTCACTAGCCTTGCCTTATAAGTAACATGAAAAAAATGTGTCATCCAATCTGTAGGTTATGAAAAAGTAAAAGAGGTAACTCAAAAAAGGAATAAAATCATGTTTTATTTCAGAGCAGACTGATTTAGGCCTTTAGAAAGTACACCAATATAGACCCCTCTGTCCCTGAGGGCCAAGCCTTACTTGGTTAATATTTTGTTAGCCAATTCGCGCCAGACAGCAGGCAAAAGTTGTGAAAATTTCAATTTGGTTCTCAGATTCTAATGGCTCAGTTACTGGAAATGGTCTTCAAAGAAGTCAGTAATCAAGGGCAAACAGAGAGGGATGAAAGGGCCCAACTTGAGACCAAACAGGCCAAGCAGCAGGCTCAATTAGTAGCAGTGACAGGTGCCTCTCAGTCTCAAGATCACCCAAGGGAAACATTGGGAAACCTTAGTAGGGCAACCCCTGGATCCTCCAAATGGGCTTGCTTAAGTGCAATGAGCAGGGTCATTGGAACACATATAGTGTCCCCAAAAGCCAGGACCTTGTCATCCCCTCCCCAGAAAAGAGGCCCCCACCAGGCTTTGCCCTCTTTGTAACTGGCCAGCCATTGGGAAAGAGACAGTCTCCAGCTCTGAAGATTGAGGGGGACTCCTGAACACATAATAGCCTTATCTAAAAAAAACGAAAGGGGCCCTGAGTTCCTGGTAGCTTGCATAAAAGACATCTCAAGACTACAGATAAACTCCTGGTGACTCTTGTAGCCTCTTGAAAGGCAAAGTTTTTCCCTAAACAAAGAAGGTAGATAAGCTATCAGAGACTACTGCTCCCAATTAAGGATCAATAAAAAATTATAAAATCCTTTAATGACTGGATCTCTACCTCTATCTAGGTAGAGATGTTAGCTATTCTTTAATAGCAAAGATTTTTTCATTTGCCC